CGAAATGTTAAGTCTTTTTAATTCTCCGTTTGATTTTAGTGTAACAAACATCTTGGAAAGGAAGCCAGTTCTGTTATTTAGTTTCTTCAAAGTACCTTAGCGTATCATTTTTATAATCTCTTGGTCCATTTGCGGAGACACCGGTTTTTGAAACTTTTCCAGAATTGCGGTAGTGAGCAATGATATCGGTGGCTTTTTTTGCGAACGGAATGACGCAACAATTTTTGTTTATGATGGCTTTTGGAGCACGAAGGTTTTTCCACGCCGAGCTGTGGCTGGCTAACCTTCCCGCTCGAAAATAGCTGTAGTCAAAAGTAGCGTAGTCTCTCATCTCAACTTAGTTCTTTAAGGTAGGTACTTAATCACTTCTTTCCTGAAAAGTATGACGTTTTTGGTTAGTTCCGTCCCTCGCTGCTTGATTTTTGGGTTGCCGCTCACGAGGTTTAGAATCGGTTTTACTATTTTTTTTATATATTTTGAAGTTGTTTTGGTTTTGTATAGGTAGAAACGAGTGGTTGTTTTTTATTTCTTTGTCTGGTAAGTGTCAACAAGGAAGGGGAGCAATTTTAGTGACCTCGTGAGTTTTGATAGCGTCTTAATAATAGGAACATTTCCCCAAAGTACTATTAACCAACACTTCGTGTTGGTCAGTAGGAATTTAGAAAGTTGGGTATGAGTTTTTTTTTAATATATTCCAAGTTGTCAGGTTTCTTGCCGTTTGATTTTTTAGAACAATTTAAAAGCAAAGTCAACTGCATGAGCTTGTTACGAGTACAAGACTCGTCTACGTCACTCATACGTCACGCGTACATTATGTGTTTCCCAAGTGCAGGTGGCTCGATTGAGCAATCGTGTTGAAAAGTGCTTATTAGACAGATTTAGTTCATGTAAAACCTTCGGACACTTTTGGGAGTTGCTTGAGCTTCAATCGTGGAAGCATCTTGACGTATAGTTTGTAAGACCGGATCATCGGGATCAATTAGTATAAGTAAATTTGTATAACATTTAAATAAACAAAGTAATAATTAAAAGTTTAGTTTTTAAAAACCCTAACTGACGGCTCAATTCCGTAATTGGCGCAGTCGGTAGGATAGTCGAGTCAGTGCGAGCATCATACTTCGATCAGCCTGATAGTCGTGTCGTCGGCGTGTCGACTATCTCTACGAATCTACGCGAAGCAGTCGTCAGACGGGAAAGAAGAATCAACTTCGAAAAACGGCGCTAATCCAAAAATCGATGGCCCACCACCACACTAAGCTAAGCATCCTGCTCCTGTGAGTTATTATATAAGTTACGTATTCCTATTGGTTGCCAGCGGCCCCTTTCCTGTCTCCCGTAGGAGGTAATAAGTTTTTTTTTTTAATAGTTAGAAAGATTGCTAGATATTCCCATTGGCTGACAGCGGCCCCTTTCCTGTCTCCCGTAGGACTTAATAAATAAATTAATTAAGTTTTCTTTTAATAGTTTAGAAAGTTTTCAAGATTTTTTTTCCAAAGAAAAGTAGAGATATAGGACCGAATCTGCGGCGCAGTATTCGTCCTAATTCTAGAGAATTAAGGTTTCAGCGCGAAATCGAATTATCTACATTAGAAAGCATAGAAGAAGAAATGGCGACCGAACAACAATCTGTAGCTTATTCAAACGATATGACAGAAAGGATTTGGAAATCTTTAAGGCTAGTTCCTGAGTTTGATGGAAATTCGAACATTTTAATTAGATTTTTGAACATTTGCGACGAACTGATTTTAACATATGTTAATCCAGCTCCGGGAAATGAACTAAATAATTACGCTTTAATTAATGGAATTTTAAATAAAATAACCGGGCCTGCTGCTAAAACATTAGCAACAAATGGCATCCCCCAGGACTGGAATGGCATAAGAAATGCGCTAATTAACAGCTTTTCGGATCACAGAGACGAGTCCGCCCTATACACCGATTTATCTATGTTAACTCAAGGTTCTGATACACCGCAAATATTTTACGAGCGAGTTCAAAATTTACTTAGTATAATTATGACTTATGTAGAATTACACGAACAAATTAAAACAACAGTTGAGGCTAAACGTGAACTTTACAAAAAAATTAGCTCTTCAAACATATACCAGAAGCCTAGCCGAGCCTTTAGGCTCACGTGTCAGGTGCATGCACCCCGACTCGCTAGAAAAGACCTTGGATTTCGCCCAGGAAGAATTAAACGTCTTATACTTACAATCGAAAGCCAGTAACCCGCTAATATCTAAGAAATCGATTAACAATGCCCCGTTTAATTACTCACCTTTTAATTCGCATGACTCACTTATGCCTTCGAGACAATTCAATTCTGGAATGCTTACACATCAATTTAAACCTTATATATACCATTTCATGCAACAAGCCACTTTCCCTAATAATTTAAGACCTTTCGGATAGTTTTAATAAGCATATTAGTTTATATAAACAAATGACCATCCAACAAACTCAAATTTCAAAATAATATCTCTTCAAATCAAAGAAAATTAGAAAAAGCAATAATTTCAATAAGTAATACATCTGTAACTGAAAAAGAACAGATGTATCAATTTACACAAATTTCCCAATTATTTAGCATACTTACGGAAAATATTCTGGAACTCTCATCTGAAATAACTAGATTAGGTAATATTTTAGCTTTTAGTCGCACAAACGTAATGCACCATTCTATACTATATATAAGTGATTTAAAAAATATGTTAACACAGCTTAAAAATCTATATAATCCCAATGCGTTACTAAACTTAGATGTTAGGTTTTATTACGATCTAATTACCTTAGGATCATATTTTATTGATAAGAAAATCGTAATTGTCTTGAAGTTTCCTATAATGTCTCTAGAAACATATGACCTTTATAGACTCTGTCCTGTTCCTAATAAAAACTCAGAAATTATCCTTCCACCATTCCCATACATGGCATCCAATTCCCAGGAATTTGCGTACATGGAGGCTGAATGCCCGAAGATCGACACCTGTTACATATGCAAGCAGCAGTTTAACCATCAAACCCGAACACGCAGTGACTGCGTCTTCAATCTCATTTATCATCAGAATACAGGACAGTGCCATCCTACATCCATATCACTCCTGAAGGAAGCACTACTAGAACTGGAGAGTCAACATTATATTTTATCATTACCTAACAAAATCAAAGTAAAAATATCATGCGGACAAGAAAAATATCATCTGTTAAAAGGAAGCTACTTCGCCACGATTCCCCGAAATTGCAGCATTCACACACCAGACTTCACAATTGTTAATACTGATGACAAATTTCGTGGGCAACCTGTTGAAATAATGACATTCCCACATTCGACTCCGATGTCAGCAAATTCGAAGAAAAACTTACCACATTATAATTTCACAACAATTGATTTGAACAAATTACACAATATTCAACATCAATTACTCATGGACCCACCTGTTAGAATTAACACCGTGGATTTATCCAGCTTATATCACACCACGATACCTATATACGTCATCATACTGTTAAGTGCACTTGCACTCATTAGTGTTGCTTACTACCTGAGACGGCGTAAGAACCAACAGCGAGTTAAATCTACACAGCCTCAAGAGAAGGAAATGGCATCAGCGGGTTCTACACCATCCACCGAAGAAAGAAAAGCCGCAACATTTGCTTTCAATCTTCGCGAATAGTTGCTCATCTAGGAGGGAAGGTGTTACGAGTACAAGACTCGTCTACGTCACTCATACGTCACGCGTACATTATGTGTTTCCCAAGTGCAGGTGGCTCGATTGAGCAATCGTGTTGAAAAGTGCTTATTAGACAGATTTAGTTCATGTAAAACCTTCGGACACTTTTGGGAGTTGCTTGAGCTTCAATCGTGGAAGCATCTTGACGTATAGTTTGTAAGACCGGATCATCGGGATCAATTAGTATAAGTAAATTTGTATAACATTTAAATAAACAAAGTAATAATTAAAAGTTTAGTTTTTAAAAACCCTACCTGACGGCTCAATTCCGTGTAGCTTGAAAATATATTTAAAAACAATAATATTGTTCAGACCGTACAGAAACCTTTCGTGATTTTGAAATGGGTTGAGCTAGGAATTCTGATGTGATGAATAAGAAATTTAAAAATGAAATCATTTTGTTGGCTGAGTTAGTAACAAATTAAGGAAGAAATTACGAGGATGGTGACACGTCATAGGATGAATACGGATTTTTTATGAGTAATTTACAATTGAATCACTTGGTACCTAGTTAATTGTACAAAAAATATGCAATTTTTAGTAAATTCCCCGTGAAGCTTGCTTAGTAGCCGTGATAGTTTTCTTTAAAATTACTTAAACATAATATGTCAATGAGATTGCAGAACAAAAGCCAAACTGCTAGATAAACCGCACGATACGCGCCACCTAGAATAAGGCGCTGATGAGAAAAAAGTGATTTATTTGAGATGTCATCACACTAAATAATAACAAGTCAACAATTTAGTTTCAAAATTGTGCAAATCAAAATGCTAATGTATTGGCTAAAGTTCATAAATCTAACGAAAACTTTTAATAGAAAAGATTCACCTCATGCTCTCAGGAACCTGGATCGAAGTGATTTTTTCTAGTGCAGGTTATTATTAGATTTTTAATAGGCACTGGTGTCGATAACGGCGTGATTCTCTAAACCTAAACTTAAATTTGACAACAGTGCATATTTGTCATTCTCGTACAAAAAATACTTAAAACTAAATTTAACATCAGTCTCTCCTTTTCATTTTGTACGAGAATGACAAAGATGCACTGTTGTCAAAATTAAGTTTAGGTTTAGATCTCAAGTTTTTAGATTCTCTAAACTTAAAACTTATTTTAACATCAGTCACTCTTTTTCATTTTGTACGAGAATAACAAAGATGCACTGTTGTCAAATTTAAGTTTAGGTTTAGAGAATCATGTATGAATCGACACCATTTTTATATTGAATAAATTATGTATTGCTGAATAATAAAAATGTTGTTTTTTTTTCAGTAATAATATGGCGGCGATGGTAGAGCCTCCGGTGAATGAGAGAAAAGTTTCAGCGGTCGAAATGCAACAAGAATATTATGAAGCTGTTGGAGATGTAGATTGGGAACTGTATGTAAATATAACCATATACCATTCGATCAATTAATAATCGTAAAGTTAAAGAATCGTTACGAGATAAGTTTAAAGAATTTGGAATAATGATGGTCGCATCACAATACATATACGAAAATTTATTACTTGTAAGAAAAAATATTAATTTGTTTCTTAAAAACAGTGATGTTCACACAATTAATACAAGAAACAAAAATAAACTAACTTTACCTGCTACTAGGCTTCACAAAATTAATAATTCATTTAAAGGTCTTTGTGTTCGCTTATACAATAAAGTCCCAAGCAATATCCAAGAGTTAACCATAAATAAATTTAAAGATAGTATAAAAAGCATTTATTAAAAAAGCTTATTACAAAGTCTCTGATTATATTACAGACAAAAATGCTTGGGTTTGAACTGTTCCAATCATTCCAACAGGTTTTCTATATTAAATAAATCATAATTGTATTGACGTCGTAACAACATAATGATTTGTAAATGTTGTTACATTAGACTTTTAATGTTGTAGAGTTCTTTCGCTCGTTTTTCTGCGCAGCTAAAAAATATGTCCATTAGGGAAAAAAATTTTTGAACGATTCAAAAGAGTTCTACTATACATCCAATTTGAATAAAGATATATTGATTTCTGAGTTGATACCTAACAGTAGTATTAAAATACGATTACCATAAGGATTCAGAGTGATAAATTATCACACTCGCTCGGCATTTTTAGAGTCGTGGGATTATTATCAGTGATAATAATCATACGACTCTAAAAATGCCCAGGATCATGACCATATTTTTTTTTATTTGCTCATTATTACTTTACATTTATTTGGTTTAACAAATTTTATGATGAGGTCAATGCAATAGTTGGGGTGGAACAGACCCATATGGATCCGAGACCGTGTCAAGATGCAGCCATGAAGGTTGTGTGAGAAGGTGGAGAGGACGAAAGGAAGAATAGAGGAAAATAAATCGAAAATACATGAAGAGCGTAAGAAGAGTGAGATATGAAGCTGATCCGGTCATAATCCTTCTGATTGAGATCATACTAAAATATTGATAACGAATGTAGAAATATATTTACTCATGTTAAATAATATATAACTCTGGTGCGTTTGATCGTTATAGATACGAGAAGAAGGATAGAAAGTACTTGCTACAAAAAGTTGCTGTAGCACTATGTGGTCTACCTACAAAAGAAGGCAATTTGGCGACAAACGATAACGATTTAAAATTACAAGGATACGAGTTAAGGGAAGAGGAAGCTATCGATAGAGTTTTTAGCAAAATATGCGAACAAGGTTCTCACTTACCTACTTAAATAAAAAAAAATATCACTATATCTTAACCCTTTTGCAAAAAACGGGCAAGTTCTATTTTTTCCTCTATTATAAATGAATACTAAAATTGAGAAGTTGTATTATTTAATTCGCAGATTTCATTTGAAGTCATTTTGGCATTACAATTTGTGTTGAAACTTTCATTTAAAAATTAAATTTGCAAAATAATAATAGATCTAATAATAATTTTTGTAGTTAAAGGTAAGTTTAATTGGCAAGCATTAATATTTAGCAGAAGTTGTAAAAATTCTACCTTACGAGAAGGAAAGAGTTTTTGTATAACTTGCTGAGAAATCAAGTTAAGCGATGTTACGGGAAGCAGGTTACACAGATTGGCGCTCCAGTAACTGAGTTGCAGCAAGACTAGTATTCCCTTAGATATCGTATTCATTATAATAATGAATATCGCATTACTAATATGTTGATTTCTCAGCAAATTATACAAAAAGTTTTCGTAATTGTAAATTATGTTTCCATGTCCATTTTGGTGAAAAGTATACTTAAAATTTAAGAAGACACAAATGATTTAATGGTAGAGTTTAAACAATGTTTATTTGTATTGATATGAAAACAATAAAATCATTACCCTTAGTACGAGTGCGAGCTCACGAAAACTATTATAGTTTTCGTAATTGTAAAACTTGTACTAAGGGTCCAGCCCCCCTAGCATGACTAACAAAACGCGATATGATAAAGCGATTTATCGACACTCAACTGTCAAACTCCATTGTAGTTTGACAGTTAATGTCGATAAATCGCTTTATCATATCGCGTTTTGTTACTCATGCTAGGGGGGCTGAGGTCCGTGTAGAGCAGGGGTTCCCAACGTTTTATTGGTCAGGGACCACTTTTACATTTTTATTGGCACGGACCACTATTTAGTCACTAAATAACTAAATTTTAGTGTAATAAAAATAAACTGTAATAATCAAACTGAAACTTTAATTAAAAATCTAATATGAAATTAATTAAAAAGTAATAATAACATTTTTAGCGGGCGCGCCCGCTTAATTCAAATTCATTCGCGGACCATATTTTGGCTTCTGCGGACCACTGGTGGTCCACAGACCTCTGGTTGGGAACCATTGGTGTAGAGGGACAAGGCTATTTACAACAGGGTTTCGCCAGATTCCCTGAGGTGACGCTAGCGACATGATATTAATAACCACCCATCATGCCATTCAGCCCTCGGCACGATTCCCCTATTTACACGTCAATATACATCGTATATACACATATTTAGTTACATACCTAATATAAGCGAGTTAAAAAATAATAGCGTTTTAAAAAAAGCAAAATATATGAAGACGAATGAAATGAGCCCAAACTCGATATGTTTACTAGTATAATGCGATTCAACTAAGAATAGGATCAACGGGGAGCCATATTGTGACGTCATAGCTGTCAATTCAAACGAAAATGTAGAGTGAGCAAAAAAGTTTTTATTTAATAAAAGTTATTTACTAAGATTAAGTGAGAAAAAACATCCGAATTTTTAATAAAATTTATTTACTAAAATTGAGAAAAGAAAATAACCGATTTTTAATAATATTTATTTATTAAGACTGTGTGAGAAATAACATTAATCAGAATTAAGCTAATCAATTCCGCTCATCTCGGCATTACCGCCGGAGTAGTTATGAATAATCATGCAGTATTACTAGGTCACATACGAACATGCATTCTATATGTAAACCAGTTTTAAATCGAGTTTCTGAACGCAACTTAAAGTGACATTTGGTTGACGATTTAGGTTATCAAACATTCATAGCCAAAGCTCAATAAATGAAAATAAAATATCAAACAATATTAATTAACAATATTTGTTATTGTTTGTTTACAAATGTTTGGTTTTTATTCCATAATTAGCTGAGTGCCAAAAAAGGGTTCCAAGATTTTATTGCAAGCCGTACTTTTCAAGCGACATTTGACAGATGGAGGTCATTGGCTTTCCTATTCTTATTTGAATCGCATTATAATCAGTCCAGGGTTCCATCAGCCACCTTCCAGTCCCATCATCAGACCAGCTCGATGTTACAATAATATTGTATTGTCACCTAATCTACATATAATTGCAAAGTTTTATTATGTTAAGACGAATCTCATGAGCCCAAACTCAATTTGTTTACTAGTAGACAGTCCAAGGTTCCATCAGCCACCTTCCAGTCCCATTATGAGACCAGCTCGATGGTACCATAATATTGTATTGTCATCTAATGCACATATAATTGCAAAGTTTTATTATGTTAAGACGAATCTCATGAGCCCAAACCCGATTTGTTTACTAGTAGGCAGTCCAGGGTCCATCAGCCACCTTCCAGTCCAACGTCTAGTCCTTGTCAGCAGGAGAAATGAATACAATATGTTAATCAGTCCAGGGTTCCATCAGCCACCTTCCAGTCCCATCATCAGACCAGCTCGATGGTACAATAATATTGTATTGTCACCTAATCTACATATAATTGCAAAGTTTTATTATGTTAAGACGAATCTCATGAGCCCAAACTCAATTTGTTTACTAGTAGACAGTCCAAGGTTCCATCAGCCACCTTCCAGTCCCATTATGAGACCAGCTCGATGGTACCATAATATTGTATTGTCATCTAATCCACATATAATTGCAAAGTTTTATTATGTTAAGACGAATCTCATGAGCCCAAACTCAATTTGTTTACTAGTAGGCAGTCCAAGGTTCCATCAGCCACCTTCCAGTCCCATTATGAGACCAGCTCGATGGTACCATAATATTGTATTGTCATCTAATCCACATATAATTGCAAAGTTTTATTATGTTAAGACGACTCTAATGAGCCCAAACTCGATATGTTTACTAGTAGGCAGTCTAAGGTTCCATCAGCCACCTTCCAGTCCCATCATCAGACCAGCTCGATGGTACCATAATATTGTATTGTTACCTAATCTACATATAATTCCAAAGTTTTATTATGTTAAGATGAATCTCATGAGCCCAAACTCGATGTGTTTACTAGTAGGCAGTCCAGGGTCCATCAGCCACCTTCCAGTACAACGTCTAGTCCTTGTCATCAGTAGAAATGAATATAATATGTTAAGGCAAATCTAATGAGCCCAAACTCGATATGTTTACAAACTAGTAGGCAGTCCAAGGTTCCATTAGCCACCTTCCAGTCCCATCATCAGACCAGCTCGATGGTACCATAATATTGTATTGTCACCTAATCTACATATACGTGGGCCACTCAGAAAGTTTTGAAAAACTAACTGTTATGAAACAAATATTTTTATTAAATCTTTTCAAAGAACTCTCCATCAGCCTCTATACAAAGTTTCATGCGTCTGAACTGAACCAATTTTCAAATCATTTTTTCCAGTCCTCCGCAGACACCTCTTCCACGGCCTTCTCAAACGCTGCTAGCGCTTCTTCCGGCAATGAAAACTGTACCCCTTTGAGCTGATTTTTTATTTTAGGGAATAAAAAGAGTCACGCGGAGCCAAATTAGGACTGTAAGGAGGGTGTCCCAATACTCTGACTGGTGTGGAGTCCAGGAAGTCCTTCGTTTTGATCGCAGAGTGCGCGGGCGCGTTGTTGTGGTAAAGAAGGACGCCGCGGAGCCCGGTGTTAGGTCGCTTGTTGCTCATTGCAGAAAAAACTTCTGGCAGGCATTTTGTGCTATACCATTCGGCGTTGATGCTGCTTTGGTTTCGGAAGTGGAATTGAAATTAGGTACCCCGTTAAAGTGAAAAAACTAGCGATCAAAATTTTCCCTGCGCTCCTCAATCGCTTCACTGTCGTAAGCGTTGGTTCATTTTGAAACAGTCAAACTATTGACTGACGCTTTGTTTCTGGATCGTTTATCGATCGTAAACGCGCCGTGACGAGCCTGCATCAAATTTTTGTATCATATCACTGCACCAATCCACACGGGCCTGCTTCTGAGCTTCGGTGAGGTTGTGCGGCACCCATCGGAAACTATCGTGTTTCCTTTCATTTGAAATGCTATGTTCTTTTTGAAAAATAATCCTTATGATTAACCCTTTCGATAGTTATCATAAAATCCATTGTTTTTTTCCAAATTTCACGAGTTTGGTTCCCAGTTGTGGCAGGTGATTTTTAAAAAAAATCTGTGAACGCAGTTCTAGTTATTATTAAAAATAAAATGATATCTTCTTTCAGTAAAATATCCTATCTTCAATATTTAATATACTTTCCCTCCGTGTGACAAATCCGTGGGACGCCCTAGTCAGGTCATAAATTCTGTCACATGTTCAATATAAAATAATTGAAACAAGTTTATTCATTATGTAACCATTTATATACCAAAATTAACTTAACAAAACATAGAATCTTATGACAATAAAGTTTATTCAAAATGACCTCCGTGCTCCGTGATTTTGAATACAGGCCTTCAATCTGCGCGGCCAGTCGTCTATCGCAGCACGAACGAGGTCCATGTCAATATCGTCAATGTCTTGAGTGACTCCAAATTGGGATGAGGCTTTGAGCACGCCTTTTCCTCCAAATGTTGCCATATCTAATCTTGTAATCTAACGGACTCAAATCTGGACTGGAGGAGGGCCAGTCTTCGTGCCGGATGAAGTCGATTTCACAGCCAGTCTTGTGTGCTCTTCGCTCATTGAGCTGGCGCCGAATCTTGTTGGAATACCCAGTGCCTGTTATTGAACATGGTATGAGAAACAAGTTCCACAAGGTTTGTCAGGACTGTATTTTGATACACAACTGCATTCGTTTTTATACCTTTCTCACAAAAATGTACCTCTGTTAAGCCCCAATAGGAAACTCCCAACCATACCATGAGCGAGGATGGAAAATGACCTCGTTGGACACGCGGAATACGGTTGCTCGCTTCTTCACTACTGTGTGCGTACACCTTATCATTTTGTTTGTTGTAGCTCTCTTCTACGGTTTAAATATTTTCATCCGAAAAAAGAATTTCCCGAAATTTTTTTCCCGCGTACCGCTTCAACAAAGCGCGGCATCTCTTCAGTCTCAGGTCCATTAGACGAGCATTCAAACGATGTCCTGTTTTTCTTCGATATGCCCGAAGGCATAAGTCTTCATTTAACACCCTTTTCACCGTGGTTCTGCTTAACCCCATCTGAAGGGCCAACAGTTTCTGCTTACGTTTGGGATTTCTTTGAATTCGCGCCTTCATAGCTTTTATCACTGCTGGAGTCCTAACAGATCGAGGGCGACCACTTCTTGACCTGTCATCTACACGAGTCTTCATTGTATCGTTTGATGGTACGATAAACGAATCTTTTGATTATATTCAAAATTTTCAGTATGTCAAAAAATTGAATTGGCGCGTAACCGCAACGATGCAACGCCATAACTGCAACACGGTCTTCTAAGGGTCCACTCCATATTTATAAATGAGTAAAATTCTAAAAACTACATTTTTATTTTCATGAACAATTCGAAATTCGAATTCAATAAACTTTTTTGTGGCCAGCATTCTAAAAGAAAAGTTTTTACTGTGTGACAAAACTTATGACCTGACTGTGTATATATCCTTAAAAATTTGGTGCCTACTTTTTTATTTCTGGAAAAACGTGAAAACGTGAAAGCCATTTTAAACGCATGTTTAACTACCTATCAATTAACGTATCACTTCTACTATAAATGTGCAATGAATTGATACGTTTTACTTATTTTCAGCAAAATATTCGCAGGACAATGAAAGTATATTTATCTCCATTATAAGGGTAGTCTGTGTTAGTCCAAAGAAGATTGTGCCATTTTACGAAATTACACCATCAGATTACTGGGTGGACTTGCATGAGAAAAAAAGTGATGTTGTTGACTTAATACCGTTTCACGTGTTTAGCCTGAGAAAATGCATTCCCACTAAATCTGGAGGTAATTAATCCCTTTATTTTAACGTCTCTTCTAATTTACTTAATTTTGTGCGACTTTCGAGGTGTGAATGATAGTATGTTCTCTGGTTTTTAAGGTGGTATCACCTTCTCAGGTACTTGGTTCCAACCGGCAGGGATAATGTTTGTATGATGAATACGAGTATTTGTATCTTAAGTCATGGCTATTTAAATATATTTCTAGAATAATATCCTTTTTAATTTACTTAGCATTATATCGTTATCATACCAGAATTCCATAACACACACAAGCCATACAGTGCTTACTTTGAGGCTAGGTTGATTGCCCAATTAGCAATATTATTTATTGCCTTGTAGATTCCTTATAGAATCCTCTTTTTTATCAATGATATTATTAAACTGCTGCTTTATCTTAAAAGTACAGTATTATCAACAAAGAAAAAATGACTGTTCTGGTTTTTCTTAAATAATACCTTTACATAGAAATTAATCGTCGTAAAAAAACTTTCAGAAGAAGGATGCCGGGTCTTCATAGATCACGATGGAAGAGTATATCAAAATTGGGAAGCTTATTTATCTGAGAATAATCTACCGCAATGTGTAATGGTGCTTCCAGAAAATGGGCAATACAGAGGAAGTTTTGACCTGGTAACTATGATATTTTAATGACGACCAAATAAAGTGGCAAAGACTTCTTAATAATGATTTGGTTTTTGAAGTATAAGCAGATGATTGCTCTGATTCTCAATAAGCAAATGATTGTACAAACAGTTTAAATATTTTTTTTTGTACTCATGATCAATGTGTATTTTAGGATATAGACAACGTAACGGATTTATATGAGCTGGAGATAATGCCTCTTGTAAAATGCTCAGTTGTACCATCTCCTGCTTTGGGTATCGGTGCTAAAGTACTGAGTGTGGCTGACACAGTAAGCACAGGTGATAATCTAAGTAATATAAAAGAAGAAACTGACTGAGTGACTGAATAACTGACTGCCTGACTGACATAACAACGCACAGCCCAAACCGCTGGGTTCTAGATTCAAAATTTGGTACATAGGTTCCTTATATTCCTTATATGGTCTAGGGGTACATTAAGAAAGGATTTTTGACAGTTCACTCTGGGCGGGTTTAAAATGAAAGTTTGTATGAAAAATCTTTCGTCTTGAGTATAGACTTGAAACTTGCCACGAATACTTATCTAAATCTATACTAATATTATAAAGCTGCAGAGTTTGTTTGTTTGTTTGAACGCGCTAATCTCTGAAACTACTGGTCCGATTTGAATGATTCTTTCAGTGTTGGGTAGTCCATTTATCGAGGAAGGCTATATTTTTTTTTTCAAAATTAGGGATCCGTAATAAAATTGCTTTTTTGTAACACAAGGTGTAAAATCGAAACCCTATTTTTGCGTGCGCTGCAAAAACTATTGACAATAGAACAAAATGATGTAGGACGGGTTTGTAGATCCCATTAAGATCTACAAAAAAGTCCGCGAGAACATATATCTAGCTATCATGATTTAATCACAATAACCGATTTTGTGTTTAAAATAATTATTAAATCGTCTGAAGAAAAAAAAAACTACGTTAAATATGTATCGTAATATTAATCTTTATCGAAATTAAGCATTATGTTATAAAGAGTATTTATGTAGAAGTAAAATACTTTTTGTTTCATCTCAATCGGATATTTCGTTTAAAAGTTATCACGTGTGTAAGATGTTAAGAGTTGGTACCTATTAATGAGTTATGGGCCATAGAGTTTTTTATCAACATAAAATCCTGTAATAATCTTTTTCGAAATATATTTGTAGAAAATAAAGATTATCAATGGATGTGTCAACGAGCAATATTGACGGCGAGAAACAGTAGTGTTGACGAAATTAACGATTTAATTTTAACTAAACTTCCAGGGGATATTTTATAGTCACCTACATATCTATTGATAATGTAATGTATCAAGAAGATGCAGTCCATTATCCACAGGAATTTCTTAATTCTTTAAACCCGAGTGGCCTCCCCCCACATTCTCTCAAGTTAAAAATTGGTGGCCCAATTATTTTACTTAGAAATCTTAAGCCACCAAATTTATGTAACGGGACTCATCTTCAGGCAATAACGTGATCGTTGCAACAGTTTTGACTGGTCCAGCGGTTGGTCAAACAGTACTTATACCTCGGATCCCAATGATTATATATGATTTGCCTTTTCATTTTAAAAGAATCCAATTCCCAATTAATTTATCTTTTGCCGTAACGATAAATAAATCACAGGGGCAAACATTTAAATATGTAGGATTAGATTTACGACAAGACTGTTTTTCGAACGGCCAACTACGAGTATATGTCGCGCAGTCAAGATCAGGTTGCGGAAACAATCAATATATTCTTCTGCCACAAGAAAATAAAACGAAAAATATAATTTACTCAGAAGTACTTTAAAATAATATTTAAACCCGGTTTAAAGTGGACGGACACTCCCGCCTGTAGTCGTAATTCTTATGTGTCTGGCTGAATGTCGAACAGATAGACAGCTATTGCCTGCGACTTATACGCTTTAATTTAATCTATATTTTTCTTAATATTATAAAGCTGAAAAGTTTGGTTGTTTATTATGAACGCGGTAATCTCGGGAAATACTGATCTGATATGAAAACTGTTTAAATATTCAATAGTCCTTTTATTGAGGGAGGCTATAATATAGGCAATATTTTATCTCGGTATTTCCTCGGAAACGAGAAAAACGCGGGTGAAACCGCGGGGCACGGCTAGTAAATTATAAAGATTGTAATTACTAGTTTTCCTAAACTATCCCATACAACGGGATAGGCAGGGCGAAGTTTTTATATGGATGAATTTTAACGCGCATTTAGGTTAACTCGAAAAGACCAGAAATAAATAATAACGATTATCAGGGATTTTCGAAAATCTACCCTTAAGAGGATAAAAAAGGGGATGAGTTTGTATGAGAAACTTGAGACCTGATATAAGGAATTACATGTATCAGAGTTATTCGAAACTATCGGAAAATGGCTGAATGAATTTGGATACAATTTCGCACACTAATAGGTTATTACCTGGATTGAGACAAAGGATATTTTATATCACGAAAACGTGTTAGGTTTCTGAAGGATTCTCCAAAAACTAAAAATAACGTGGACGAAGACGGGGGCGCACAGTATAATTTTGAGCCCAAAAAACGGTCACGTATTTTTTATGTCCTTAATCGATGGTATTCACAACTTTAATCGCGAGAGTAAAACTCCCAAGTGGCAATTTTCAATAGAAAATGAGTTATTTATTTTTTTATAAAATTTCTATGGTTTTAAAAAAAAACATAGAAATGGCTATATCTCAATAATTAGATAGTATTACAAAAAATTATAAGTGGCATAAAATAAAGTAATAAAATATTGTAAATTACTAAAAACAGCAGGTATGATTTTGTAACGCATTACGATGTTATGGCTAATTTTACCTATTTTCATTTTTTATTTCTCACGGTCACATTATTACGTATTAGGATTCGTTTCTAATTGTAAATCATTCTTTACAATTCCCTTCCATGATTTCACAGGATCTCAGAGATATTGAGAATCAAATTTTATGACCTAGGGTTTTCAGAGTAACAAATTATATGACTGGTAATCAAATGTAAGCAATCAAAATGTAAGTGAACATTTATTATTTCTCTGATAAGGATTTAATGACGGTGTGGATTCTGGTATGGTTTTCTAGACCTGAACTTGGTTTTGCAGCGGTGTATCCTTGTCATTCTCTATACAGACTGAAAAGGGGGGACTGATGTTGGATTTGGTTTTGGGTTGGGAGAGTATTGCCAGAGTCGACAACAGTGTTTAGGTAATCACATGCATGTGTCCTGCCGTTGTGTTTATAGTTTGTTATAATAATGTACACTGGTACCTATATATATATATATTTCTATTTTTGTAACATAGTATCCATGTGTGGTTATGAGTAGTCAGGCTCTCTTAAAAATCTCTTCGGTGGTGTCGTGTGAGGCGGGTCGTTGCGTTCCCTAAAAAATGGTTGAGCGAAGCGATGGCTGGTTCATGCGTCATGCTCGTGAGCGGGTGCTGCCAGCGGAGATGAGTCTGCTCTTAATTCACTGGGTACTATTAATAGTTGTTCTAAACTTTAATCGTTCATTATTATTATTTTTTTTTGCCTAAACGGTAGGACACGTCATTCCTAAACTTTGTTAAACCTTTTTTTTTACATATTTTTATTTTTTTTACATATTTTTATTTTTTATTTTATAGTCATAATTTTTATATTATTTGCATTTTTTTTGTTTGTAATGAAAAGTGACTTTATGAGTTACCTCATATTGAAGTCATTTTTCAATTTGACGACTCTATATATAATACAGGGAGAAAAAAAACAGCCCTTGCCGAGTTTCTTGCCGGTTCTTCTCAGTACAAGGTCTCCCGCCGTAGATTTGCGAACCGATGGCGTAGCTTTTCGACATTCACAAGTGCTTGTAACAGCCTAGACTGAATAAACGATATTGAATTTTGAATTTTTGAAATCACTAAGGGACGTAAAAATAATATCATAATAGTCATCTTTATATAAAAAAAAAATAACCAGATTATTTTTAGCTGCATCAAATCCAATGAAAAGTAATACTGGGAAGGGGTCCGTCCTCGATAGGCACACGCTATAACCCTGTACCGATACATGTTACTTGGAGGAACGGGGGTGAGGCACCATGGAGCCGCAAAAGACCCATGGTACTACTTTGCCTCAACAGGGCCTGACCCGACCTGTTGAGGGATGTCTGTCCGATACCAATATTGGGCTCGTGTGCAGATATAAGGCCTAGTATTGAACCTAATCTCGCACAAGCGTGCACTCCTGAATCACATCCCATTGCTTCGACTTCTAGTTCATCTTACGAATCACTGAGTGAAAGACAGAAACGAAGGGTACGCAGAACGCTTCAATATTGTTTAGATAGCGAACCTCCAGCCAAGATTATTAAAGTTTTGTCTACAACTTTAGAGGCAAAAGGACAAAAACTAAAAAAAATGCATCGAAGGATTTAGTGATTATGTGATTCATTCCTGTCTTGAAAGCCCATCAAGATCAATTAAAATTGCTACCAAACTCAGAGAAGAGACACCACCTTATACCCCAGAAGAAGCTTTAGCGGTATGTATTGACAGAAAATTCACTGTAGATACGTATAATTTTCTTCAACAAGACTTGAAGGCAAGGGGCTTTCCAGCATTCCCGCCTTATCCTCAAGTATTTGAGGCAAAACTAAAATGTTACCCGGGCTATCCAGTTGTTGAAATTCATGTGACTGAAAGAGAAGCATCAGTTACACTAACCAGTCTTCTGTCGCATACATTTCAAAGGACAATAAATTCATGTGACGAAGTGTTTTCAATATACTGTGCACAAAAAAATGTAGACATTGTAGATTGTATTTTTGAGAGAAGCTGGGGCTTTGATGGTAGCACAGGCCAGTCCCTTTACAAACAAAATTTTAGTGATGGTCAAGAAGATGAACATAGTCTGTTTGCAACAACTTTTATACCTTTGTGTATAAAAACAGAAAGTGGCTTCGTACTTTGGTTGAATCCGACTCCTCAGTCGTACAGATTTTGCCGTCCAGTTCACATTCAGTATCGGAAAGAGACAAAGGAATTGATTTTTGCTGAGCAAAAGTGGGTAGAAGACCAAATCAATGAACTAAATACATTAATAGCTACAACATCTACCCATAAAAATCTCTGAGCAAAACCCAAACTTTATTTAACTTGCATAGATGGGAAAGTAATGAATATAATCATGAATACTCCGTCTCAACAAAGGTGTCCATTTTGCAAGGCTACTTCGACACAGTTCAATAAACTGGAAGTTATGTACTCCCTGCCAACAGATCATTCGCTCTTAAAGCATGGCATAAACCCTTTACATGCTTGGATCCGGATTCTGGAATTTTTACTACATTTAGGGTACAAACTTCCCGTAAAAAAATGGAGGATTGGTAAAATTCATCTGAATCGGCCATTGTTGAAGAAACAAAAAATCGTATACAAGAAAAAGTGCGAGAAGACTTAAAACTGCTGGTAGATGTTGTCCGACCAAATGCTGGAACAACTAATGATGGAAACACGGCTCGAACTGTTCTATCTGATTAAAATCGTGCAGTTTTTGCACAAATATTAGGCCTTGGGCAGTGGTTGTTGGATGACCTTCATACAATTTTAGTTACATTGTCCTGTGGATTATCTGTAGATGCTGACAAGTTCGGAGAGTTCTGTAAAACATTAGCAACTAAATATGTTAAGGAGTATGAATGGCATCCAATGACAGTGACCGTCCACAAAATCCTCATCCACGGAAAAGACATAATTAGTAACTCTACCCTTCCTGTAGGTTTACTATCGGAGCAAGCGGGAGAAGCACGGAATAAATTTTGGCGCTACGATCGTGAACACCACAGCCGCAAAAAGTGACCGAGAAAAAACGATGCTGGACTTGTTCCACAGAGCACTGGAATCATCAGATCCAGCCATTTCTTACATAAGGCTACAAAATAGGCAAAAAAAGTTGAAATCATTGCCATTATCAGCTACAGTTATAAATTTATTAATACCTTATGACATCCCTATTGAAGAAAATTCTATGACATGTGGAAGTGACGAAATTGTTGAAGGGCATAATGACAATAACACAGAAGTTCTTTGCAACGAGGACCTTTAAATCTATTTAACATCTTGTTCTATAGTGAATTCGCAAAAAAAAATTATTTCCCATACATTTTTGTCAGTCTTCCCACACATTTTTACGGGTTATGTAGCACCTTGTATTTATACCTATTACAGCACATAGCACGTAAAATATTTAAAAAAAAAATATTTACAATGCAGAATAATTATGGATATTACATGTGACAGCCCTAAAACCATAATTATCATAGAAAACTTTAGAAGCTAATATCTTCTGGATCCTACGAGATTTGGATTTGATTTTTTTAGTCGGTGTTCATATCAATTACGAGAATTGTTTAATGTAGAAACTAAATCCTAATACTTGTTAATGTAGACAAAAAAAAAACGAAAACAAGAAAATTTATGATATTTCTCTTGTTCTACACAGTTTTAATGCTATGAATTGATTCACTTTATGCATTTTATAGTGACAATACACACCATTAACAAACCAAAAATTATTATTGAACTTTTACAGAATATAGTGTAATTTTCGGTTTTAATAAAAAAAACTTTAAAAATTCATAATCTCTGTTAGAACCAAAATTGAAACTCGGGACTTCTACTCTTGCATTCAAAATTATTAGCTCCATCGATTGGGAACTTAAAAAACAAACAAACTTTTGGGCTCAAAATTATACTGTGGGGCGGGCGCTCGAAAATCACATAATATGTTTATATTTTTGAATTCAACTACGTACTACAGTACTACTACAGCAATAACTCATTTTGCGCTCGATGCAACAATCTACTATAAGAACAAAGCTTTTGTGGGTCTTTTACTTTGATACCCATATTGTGCTTTAAAAAAGTAGTTGCTAGGATATTTCTATAATTTAGATTATAACAAGGTTAGCGAGTTCGTGCTACTGCGACTGCGTGGTTTCATTGTTTTTTTATACATACTTCCACCCTCATTTTGACCCCTCAAAATGTTTTCCGGGATAAAAACTATCCTTTGTCTTTTCCCGGGACTCAAACTACTTACATATACTAAATTTTCTCCAGCTCGGTTCAGTGGTCTAAGCTCGAAGAGATACTAGATAGATAGACCAATACAGATACACACTTGAATTTATAATACTAGTGACTTCGTGCGTGGAAAAATTCTACTAAAATAAAACCCCTACAAAATGCCACTCCCCTTTTTACCCCTTAAAGGACGATTTCTGGGATAAAAACTATCCTATGTCCTTTCCCGGTACTCAAACCACATTTATATTAAATTTCATCTAAAGCGATTAAGCGGTTTCAGCGTGAAGAGATAACAGACAGACAGACACACACTTTGCATTTATAACTAATATGTGCATTATATAAGTATGAATAACATCTTTTGCTAAGAAACGGAACCATATAATCCTTACCGTACTGGAGAGTGAATATAATGAAACTGACTCGTAAGAGCTACGGCACATTGAGCCACTGCTGGCGGCCTAAACGCGTCTACAAGCTGCGGTCAAGGTTTTATAAATTTTGTATAGTATTGGCGCAAACTAAGCGTTAGAGTGGCCACCACTAACGCACTAGCGGAGGCCATCGGTAGCTGCGTCCAGTGACTTGTTTGAGCAATGTGCGCTTGCTCATAAACAAACATTTCCAAACAGTTGCCAACATCGGTGCCCTGGTAGGAATGGCTGGAGGTTTGTTGATTCCTGCTGCCGCACCAATAGTCTTAGGCACTGCGGTGGGAGTCGGAGTTGCAAGCGGGGTTTACGGGATTGTTCGTTCATCCATCAACTTGGCGGACAGGAGCAAACACGAGCAGGTAAGGGCCTGGCCTATGCACATGACATATTTAAACAAGCTAACGATATACAAACAACAACAAACGCAAATGAAACGCGCCATTTGCACACGCTTGTATTTTTGTAAACAGAAAACAATTTAATACAACGCGACGCGACGACGTGCAAGGTCATGTTTTACAAAAATGCGCGTCCTCGTAATCTCTTTTATAAAAACGTCCTGTGGTGGCTCTAATATTAAGTTAAAGCGTTTGCCAGCCACACAAGGAACGAAACGAGTCTCTGCGCTCATTTCGATGAACTAATAAGAACAAAGCAAAGTGACTTGCAGTACTACGTAGCAAAGAGGGTAATGGGCCTACCACACGCACGAGCTTCACCACAGTTTTGCCTGCGCAGGCCGGTTGTAAAACTGTATCACACGCCAACCCCACAGCGCGGCCTGCGCACTTTTCGAATTGCTTGAAATTTTGCCTGCGCAAGCCCGGCCTGCGCGTACTTGTCTGTGCGTGTGGTTGGGCGTTCAGTGTTCAAGCCACAGTCTAGTGTACTTTGTGTCGAGGCTCGCTCGTCGTTTCATGAGGTCGTTCGTCATCGTCACTCAAAAATGGCAGATTTGCGTACGTACAATCGCGAATTCACGTCTGAATTAATTAGTTTATACAAATCTCTGCCTGCACTTTGGAAAATTAAATCTAAAGATTATTCCGACCGAAATAAAAAGAACGACGCCTACGAAAGAATGATAAATAAAATGAAAGAGGTAAGAACATAATTTTTGCAACTAAAAACCTATGCCTAATACCTACTACCTACCTACTTGCACATATTATGTACATACCTACCTACCAGTACCTATCGTATTTACATGTTTTTGACAATTTTTTTGGTCGCTTTAATTTTGACTTTTGCGTTGTCTTTTTTTTTAATAGCAAACACTTGAAATATAGTAGCATAAGAAATGTTTCTTCATTAGGAAATATTGTTTCCACGCTAATGATTTCGATAAGAATGAGGCTTGCGCGTACTTAACTGTGCCGTGTGGTAACGCAGAAAGTGTACAGTTTTTTCGTGCGAGATGCTTGCGCAGGCCAAACTGTGGTGAAGCTTGTGCGTGTGGTAAGCGCATAACACAATAGAAATGAAAAAAGAAATACAACAGTTTGTCTCCTCACCATAAATGTAACGCAGTTCCTTTTATACTGCGTTTTCACTTAAGCTCAGAACAGTTCTGAATTAAAAAAACTGCTCGCTTGGTAAATGTACACCGAACGAGTTCGTACAACGATGTTTGACTGGTCTCAGGAAACGAACGCTCTCTTGCTCAGTCTTCAATGGGAACAACGCAACATTATTTTAAGCATTGCATTTACCGAGTGAACAAAGGTTTGCTGGTTTGGAAGTGGTCTGAGCATTCGGTGGAAACGCAGCATTACATAACTGACGTAATCTTCAGTTTAATCGCGTGCGTTTTATGACCGAAACAGACTTTTGAAACGCGATGCTACCTGACGCCACGTGACGCGTATTTTCTATGATCAGTGTGTGCGCATCGCGTCGCGTCGGATGTTCCTAATGTGATTCTGATCACAGAAAATAGTACATTTGATTTGACTCAACGCGTGTCGCGTGGCGTTTCAAAAGTCTGTTTCGCCCTTTAATCCTTTCAAAATTCTTTTTCTATAGAGCTTGGCCTGTTTCAGAGTATCGGATTTGAAACCGCCGAATCCCGAGCAAGCTGGATCAACATTATAGTGTCCGCGACTGGCATCTCTGTCAGTGGTGCCACTAAACTGTTATCTTGGGCTGCATCATCGGGCACCAATGTCACTGTGGGTTTCTCATAATTATTGTTTAGAATTATTTAAGATGGATGTTTTAAATTTATCAAAATATTTTACAAACATTACTTTTAACACTTTCCTCACATATATTGTTTACTACATTGATTACAGACTTTGACAGACACTGTTGGTTAACCTATATGTAATGTGTTAATCGCCATCTCCAAATAATTGAACGATAGAATTGCAAAAGATTATTATATTCCTTTTTCTTAATTCTAGATACTTATGAACGCTGTTCGTGTTTTGCAATACGCTAATTTAGGCACGGGTTTCTTAGGAGTTGCCAACAGTTTGGCAGATATGATTGTCAATGTAAGTTATAGTAGTTCTGTGATACGATAAATAAATTTCGATCTATATGATTTTCTAATTAATTAAGATCTATTATCTTTAATTTTTCAGTATACTAAGTATAACCAGACACCAACGACCCTCGAAATCTTTCAATTTACCACCTCGGCTTTATTCTTCGGGATTGGTGCTATGTCCAATCAAACTGCACAAGAAATAGTGCAAGACGCGCAAGCTAAAACGATTAATGAAATTAGAGATTCTCTACCCAGTAACGTGAAAAAGTAAGAAATTGTTCTTTTGAAATTGATTTTAGTTCAGAAGAGTACTTATTAAAGCTGTCTACCAATAGGGATAGCAAGCATACAATTTGAGTCAACCCGATTTCTTATTGTTGTTGATAATTTAAATACTTAATCATATACCTTAATCAACCTTCATTTACAGGAAAATGTTCGACAAAGTTAATGCTGAAACTCGCAGGGTACAGGGAACAGTCAAAGGAAATGCCGACGTAATAAAAGCATTACAAAAAATAGAAAATAAAAATGATTTCTTTGCCAAAATAGCAAGAATCAATAAACAGATGAACAAAAATAAGCTAAGAATATCTTTAGCGCCGGACGGTAATCCACTAATTAACAATCAACACAAAATTGGTATACAAGAACTACATGGACTTGGCAAAAGTGGAAGAGACCAACTGTTTTCAAAATATGGTCCTGCTAAAATTAATTCGAAGAATGCGCCAACCAGGATATATGCTTCTAGCAGCTCCAACAATACCTTCGGATTTTCAAAAGAAAGTCAATGCTTTATCAGGCCAGAAGAAATTATTAAGATCAGTAATTTCTTATTGAGTTTATGCAGGGCAGATCAAGATGTCATTTTCGAAATTCTTAGCGAAATCACTAGTAATGCTCACGATGCGTTTTTACTTTTTTGTGCCGAATTAATAGCTTGTCTCGTACCCTTTGAAATAGAATTATTGTTCTCTCTTGACCACGATTATAAAGTGCGTATAGTACTGTATGTCTTCAACTATATAAAATCTAAAATAAATATGAACGATTCGGACGCAGATATTTCTTTTGTACGTATAATAAAAAAGTTTTTCAGGGATGGCAAAGTAGATGTAGACACAATAAAAAAAGTGAAAGAAAAGCTAATGGAGAGATTATATGAAAGAATGTCTTCAACTGATAACGAAAAGACGAAATATGATAAATATGACGATTTATTTAATTTTCGAAAATCACGAAATGTTCGATTTATGACACTGGAAGCAGATGAAATCGTCACAATAGGTAAACACAATATTTTTGTCAAAGCAAGCACAACAGAAAACCTTGATCTTTGGCTCGATATGTTCCCGCAGGAGGTGTGCGACGTGTTTCTAAATTTATGCTTTAAAGTTATATCACTTTTAACTACAGACGAAATAAACAAATTGATTGAAATTAATTTTGATGAAGATATAATATTAAGAGTTTCATACTATTTAATATTTGAGACCGACGGAGAGGTGTTTGATGTTATAAGAGAAGACTACTATACTGAATTATTTATTGATGTTGCTAGTAACTATAAAGAAGAGCTAATAAAGTGGAGATCTCGTCAAAGTGTACAGAAGTATGTGGAATGCAAGACGTGCTCAGGCGTTCGTTTTTCAGAGCTGTAGATTTATGTTTGTTTAATTTGCCTTATTTGGGGTTTAGCACTTTATTAATGTTTTTTATGCCAATAATTATTGTGATATTCAAATACTGTAATGTATAATAAAGATAAAATTCAATTTAGGATAACTTTACCTGTCGATGTCTGCATAATTTATTTTACCTTTCAGCAGACTTGCTACCTGTGAAAGGGTCTGTGAATTTTCAAACTAAAAAGCAACTTGTATACTTGCGACCAATTGTAGTCAACTTTGTTTTTTAAGAATGTAGGTAGGTATGTATTTAAAATGTTTATTTATTATGTATTCACGCACACCAATTATTAAATAAAACAACAATTTTAACGAGTTGTAAAGCAAAAATACTAAAATTTAATATTTTTGTGTTTAATACTTAATAAAATATTCGTACACAAAGACAAGCAAAGTTTTGCAAAATTGTTCTGGGATATACCCGAAGGAGCACGAATATGAACATCTAATATATAAAATTCTCGTGTCGCGGTGTTTTTGGTTAAACTCCTCCGAAACGGCTCGACCGATTTTCGTGAAATTTTATATGCATATTCAGTAGGTCTGAGAATCGGATGTAATCTATTTTTCATCCCCCTAAATGTTAAGGGTACCCCCCCCCCATTTTTTTTTTAATTATAGATAAAAAAAAATTTTTAAGTTTTTTATGATTTTTTTTTTATGGGGGTACGAAGTTCGCTGGGACAGCTATTTAGTAGGTATTTCTATAGATATTCAATATACGGATGGTGACATTGTAATGCTCCATACCTATATAAATAATTATAAAAAAAGTGGCTACAGACTTTTAGACCGGGCGCTGGATGGAAGTGAGTGTGCAAAATATGAGGACCGCATTCTGTGTATAGTTTTGAACTCTGGAAAGCTTGCAGATTATGATTCTAAATGTTGCCGGGAGATTTATTGGTCCATTTTTTTTTACAATCCACCCCCTTAGATATCAAGTATGAACAAATGCCTAGGAATCATTTCAATGATTATTTTAGTTACGATATCCGATAGTTTCTTATAATTATAAATAATTATAGCTAGTTAATTGAAAAATAAACAAAAAGATTAAAAATAAAAACAAAAATTGTTGATAAAAATAGCAAATAAGATAAAAAAGCAAGTTTGAACATAAATCATACAGAAAAATACAAATAATTAATCTTCTTTATTTTCACAGTCATTATGAATACATTTGCACGATAAAATACAATTTACTTGTAATTTTTTACAAGAACAGGCCTTTGTATGACAATTTGATCTACATTTACAGGGCTGGATCAACGATTCTAGCAATGGTTGCTTCGTCAGTTGTCGTGGGTATAATTTACCATCTTTTTTTTCATAGCCTAATACTCTGTAATCAATAGGCTGTAGTAGTGTTTGCTCAGCCTTTATCCATATATATGTTTGTGCTGAAGCTCTTAACAAATGTAAATAAAAACTTTCAATAACTTTAAGTTGAATCCGATATTTTGAGATATTAATTTATACCGAAGTTCATTAGCAGTTAATATTTTCTTTGAGAAAAGATAGAGGCAAACGGTTTCTAATTCTATTAACTGTTCTACGCTTAGATATGGATTCCTAAATGTCTTAGAGCTTTTTGTACAAAATCCAACGTTGCAGCTTTTAGAGCTTTTTTTTTCGAGCCCAATCTGCTAGTCGAATCGCAACCACTTAGAGAGTGTAATGCTGGCAAAATACGACAAATGTTTTCTCCAAGGGATTGAGCAGCCAAATGACATCCTAAAATGTATTTCTTCTTATAAGAACCATCGAACCATATACCTAAACAATCTAGACATGCTAGCTTATTCCAAAAATAAATTCCTAGGATGAAAACATCTGTATCAGTGCTAAGGATTATGACATGGGCAGACTGGATTTTTACTGCGTGAAATATGTGACAAAACATCCTTAAATCGGCTTCTAAATGATTCGAATTTAAGTCAGGCACCTCAACAAATGAAGAAACTTGTAATTTGAAACATTTTGTTGGATCATCAAATCCTCCACAAATATATAACTCGCAATCTTCTTTTATTTGTGCATATTTAGGAGCAGCAGTACAGAGAAATCGAACGAGCTGTAACTTATTTTCAGTGCTTGCAAAGAAATTATTACAATTAGCAGGAATTTTTGTATGTTCATTTGAAATTATAATTTTTTTCATAATTTTACCTTTACTCCGTAAAGTTGACTCCAGATATTTTATAGAAATATCATCATCACTCAAATAATATTACGTAAATACAAAAAAAAAATGAATCGTTGCGCACTAAGAATTATTTTCTACTGACTATTCCGAGCGCTACGACGTATCAACGCGCAAGGCGGGGAGAGGGGCGGGTAAAAGGGAAAGGGACCAATACAGCGGCTGGCAACATGAGTTTTCTTTTTGTTTGGTATCTCAGATAAAAGAATTTGAGGATAGTTGGCGGTCCTCACATTTTGCATACTCAACTACCTTTGGCGCCTGCACTATTTCTCATTTCAGAACCAATACAATATTAAAAAAAAGAACAAGCGCAAGACACAATAGAACGTGACGTAAGCAGTATTCGAAAATTTAAAAAAAGCGAAAATTTAATGCCTTAGAATGAAAACCGAGGTTCCCTAAGCGATGCGTGTGGAACTAAATTTTCTTTCATTGAATTTACGTCCTTCAAATTTGTTTGTGTAGCTTTTGTAAAATTGTTTTTTCGTTATGTAGTGAAAAGCTCTTCCACTGTTTCCTTTTATTTATTTGTTGTTAATTTTTCTTTGTATTGTTTAGATATAAATGCTGATTCATTATATTTACATAGTATTTAATACAGCCGTGTGAAGCCGGGACGGGCCGCTAGTATACCTATATTTAAGAACACAGAACCTGTAAAGGGCCTGGAACCTCAAAAGTGTTTAAGCATACCTATAAAAATATATATTTTCCAGACAGTTCCTCTGGGCTGATTTATCTGCCAGACGCTTCAAACTATAAACAAGTGCGATTAGGACTCGCGCGCGAAGGGTTCCATATTATTCATTAGACACTACGAGTATAATAATTATGTCAAGCAACAAACTGCAAAAAATCACGTCTGTTTTATGGGAGCCACTCTTAAATATTTATTTTATTTTAATTATTTATTTTTAAAGTGAATACCGTTATTAATATCGAGCAAAAACCGACAAATAATCACGTTTGTTTTATGGGAGCCCCAGTTTAGTATTTATTTTATTATATTTCTTTGTGTTTTTTGTTATAGCGGCAAAAAAATATATCACCTGATTCACCTGTGAAAATTTCAACTGTCTGGCTGTCACGGTTCATGAGATTCAGTCTGGTGACAGACAGACAGTGGAGACTTAATAATAGGATCCCGTTTTTATTCTTTGGGTACGGAACCTTTTTCTATCTGTAGTAGCTATGCTGTTTTTCTTGTTAATCAGTAAAATATTATTATTAATATGATTTTTTCCATATAACTGTACTAGATCCGGCGTAATAAGAATCCGTCCTTTTGTGAATCCGACCAAGTGCGGACAAATGCTTAAGCATTATATCTATAATATTAATTTTAGGGTGAAAGTCTCTTCAAAATACCTTAATTGTAGAGGTATGGGGAATGCAAGGCATGCTCAGCTATTCTCTTTTCGGAATAAGTGTATTTCATGTGCCTTATCTAAAAGTTTTTGGAATATAGATTGAATTAAGTGCTTTAATTATACAGCAATAATCATGATATTGTAGTTTGTAGTATAAATAAATAAGGATAAGTTACAATAGATTACAGTTAATGATAATGACAGTTGTATGTATTGATTGATTTTTACTTCAATACATACAACTGTCATTATCATTAACTGTAATTCAAAAATAAATTTAATGTCAAAAATAAATGCGTTTTATTTATATTATTATTTATTTATAATTAATGACAAAGGCAATTATATTACTTGTATATAAGAATGCGTACTAATACTTACTAGAAATCAAAGATTGAGGGATTACCTACATCTTTTATGTTTCCATTAATGTGGTATTACCGAAATTTAAGTGGTTGTATCATTAAGCATGATTTTCACTTGATTATCTTTTCCTCTTTCTTCTGTAGGCGTCGAAGGATTATACTCGAAGAATTTAGCTATGAAATACCTGAAAATGAGGTAAACACATTTAAAATACAATTGTAAATAAAATGCTTTTAGTTGTTAAAGTAGTCGACGTAAAAGAAACTAAAAGTTGACAAAAAGGTCAGGAAATATAGTATCTAAGTATATTATTTATGTTAAAGTCATTCTTGATCATCATCAGCCTATTAATGTCCCCACTGCTGGGGCACAGGCCTTCCCTATGGATGGATTAGGGAGATTGGGCCATAACTGCTCGGAATTTGGCGAAAGAGATACAGTGACGTTCAATTTTTTTTTTACAATAAATTCTGTTAAATTACGAATTTCGAAAGATTTGAAAGCACTACTACTAATATTGTTGATCTAAAGGCTTGATGACACAGAGGGCAAGTTTACGGCTAGACACTAGTGAGTTCACTGGAAGCTTGTAACTCGCCCCATCGAGTAGTAGATTGTAAAAAAGCCAATAACACGGGGCGAGTTTACAAGTTGCTAGCTAACTCGTTGGCTTGTGGCTTGTTAACTCGCCCCGTCTCATAGAAGCTTAACGGACTAACCAGACCAAGATCTCTATGGTGACCAATACGGCGGCGGCAGCAGTTTGCGCGGCTACTTTGCCTGGTTCAGACGTGCCTCGCAGTGCTGCTGCTAGCATGGCGTCGCCAATGTCAGACGCTGCCTCTAGTGCCGCAACTAATAGAGCCGGTGCTGCAAGCCAGCGTGCACCGCGCCGCCACCATGATTGCTGCAAAATAACCAGATAATACAGCGAGCAAGTTGAGAGTGATGCTCGGTATTTCCCGGCGCGATAGAATCAGAAATGAGAAAATCCGTGGGAAACCTAAAGTAACCGATAATGCTCGAGGGAATACTCTGCTGAAGTAGCAAAGGGCGCGGGACGTAGAGAGGAGAACCTATGGCCGTTGGAGCGGGGAGATTCTCGAATGGCGGCCGCACACTGAGAGCCGCAACTAATAGAGCCGGTCTTGGAAGTCAGCGCGCGCCGCGTCGCCACCATAATTGCTACAAAATCATCAGATATCCTATTAACACACTAAGCAGTATTGGCATTTTTCTTAATAGTAAGTACCACGCGAGCTGGTCTACATTCTTCTTCTCTCTCCTTTCAGAGTGATCGTGATCACAATAAGGCATCCAGGGAGGGGGCAGAGAGAGCTTGCCTTACGATTTCCCGCCACCTTGCTTTATTCGTAGACTGCTTTGGGCCGACTAATGCTGATTTGATTTGGTCGGTCTATTTCATAGATGACTGCTAACATTACCATTGTAAGGAGGAAAAGTTGGTTTTATTAGCTTAAGACTATAATTAAATAAAAATTAAGAAAATATTAAAAAAAACTATTATGTACCTTTGACATCACTGCGACCAGTAACAAAAGTGAGGTAGCAGCGGTCACGAAAGCACTCAACTTTCCGTATCCCATCACCAAACGAATAGTCGGCTTGGTTATTCTATTAAAAAACATATTTAATTGTGTAACTTAAGTAGAACATTATGCTACGGCTTAAGTCCTAGTTGCACATTTGTTACTCTAATTATAATAATTATTTGCAATAAAATATGTTATTTATTGAAAAGAAAAAATATTTGCTAGACTTCCCAATTCCAAATACTAGGTACTTATAGACATTTCGCTCAAGTACAAGTCCGACTCTCATATTGAGGATTTCGTACAAACTTGAAATAGTTGATCAAGGGCCCGTGGTCCCAACTATTTCACGGGAATCGACTAGAAAATTATGCAGTAGTATTCATAACTTTTCTTACTTGTTCTCCATGGTACCTATTGATTTTTCTCGAATTTCATGATCTAGCTAGAATCACAAAATTTTAAAATAGGAAGTACCATACGTTTTGGATTTATTCTCTTACGAGTGACGCGTTGTCGCGGAGCTCGATGGTACATGTGGTTAGCACGTGCGACCTGCGATCGTGGAAGTTAGGCAACTTTCGCGATGGTTTGTCATTGGATGGGTGACCAAAAATTTATTACCTCCGTGCTTCGGAAGGCATGTTAAGCCGTTGTTCCGCACTGGGCCCGAGTGGTGGGTCACGGTCCAATCTCCCTATACCATCCATAGGGAAGGCCCTAGCAATGGCAGCATTAATAGGCTGACAATTATGATGACAGATTCATACATAGAAGCACATAGCCGCGTCCCGTAAAAATAAAGCCCTTAAAAGATTTCAGAGAAGAGACAATTTCTATGATCTTTTAAGTGCTTATTTTTTCTTTTGAAGTACGGAACCATATAGTTTAATGTCACGTACCGTCTCGCGAAGCTTACGTTGTTAAGCCTTTGAGCAACTTCTTCATCGTCTAGCTCCAGCTCAACAGGCTGAGAGGCGAACGCACAAGCAGACATTGATACACCAAGCAATGCCACTAAAAGAGCACGCAATTTCATACGCACTCCTTCGGGTGTTTCGCTGTCAGGAACTAATAACTGATACAAAACTGCTTATTAAATTTGTGCAATAGGCCGTTTTTATTAGTTCAGAGGTAAGAAATATAAAAATTTTCATTCTAGAGAATTGTAGCGCTATAGAGGAAAGTATTCTTTATTTAATACTAGAGTTAACTACATGTTAACTTAGTTTCTTGAAAATACCTCTGGAACCTAAATTTTTTTCGTAATAAAAGTAGCCTATGTGTTAATCTAGGGTGTCAGCTAACTCCATACCAAATTTTATCAAAATCGCTCCAGCCGTTTAGACGTGAAGAAGTAACAAACATACACACTCACATACTCACAAACTTTCGCCTTTATAATATTAGTGTGATTTAGTCTTAAAAAAAACTCAACACTAATAACTTTATCTATAGAAGCGGGTAAGCTCTAGTTCAGACATGGTGGAATCCGCGCGGATACTAATCACGCTGGTCAACCGCGCGGAGCCCGATTCCTCCCACACAAACACCAACACTACACAGCTAGCAAATGTGCACACTAGCTTAGCATTAGGCAGGTACCGCACCCGTAGGATAAGAGTGCGAAGACCTCTACACACGCCACGCTATACCAGGGGTACAGGTACGTGCCTGGGCGTCTCTCCCCCCCCCCCCCCCCCACGACAACGGCTTACTAGTTTTATTTGGTCACAAAACTAACCTAACCTAACCTAGAGTGATGTATCACCACTTGGGCCCTGGAAGTACAGTTTAGCCCAGCTCTGTTCTATGAAATAACATGAAACAAACACGCGGAGCGGACGCTCGGTAGGCTCTTATAAGTACTATGCTCATATAATGGAATGCTGATACTACTACGCACGGACCACACACCCAAATTTCTAACGAACTAACTCTAATCCTTTATGTGCCCTATTGCCTCTCCTCTTTGTATTACCTTGTTGGTAGTATTCGCGCGATTCTCATGTCTGATTCTTATTTGTTCCAACAAATTGTTGCTTTCAGTTTCCATTGGAGCTCTTGATAATGTCTATCTACATTATAAAACAGTTTCTTTACTCCATGAGAAATCACGCAAATGATAAATATTTTTTAAAATGGTATGCGAGTGAAAATCATGATTGAAAGATGTAACCTTTCTCTATGAATGTAACGACTCTTTTGTATGTCAGATTCTCTTTGATTAGATTGAAGTGTCATGATGTAACGTCTCTTATAATTAAACCTTGGTTGAAAGTTTTAACCATGGTCAAAGAATTGAGCTATGCTTATTTACTCCATGGGTTCAACACATTTTCAACAAGGTTACTTTGCCTTTAAATATACCTTTATTGTATAATAATCCTAACTCATCCTATAAATGCTAAAGTGAGTTTGTTTTTTCTTACGTACGCTTTCAAGCCTAAACCACTGACTAGATTATGGAGACCATTGGACACGGTTATAGTCTCGGTATTCTTTTCCACTAAAACTTGTGGCTCAATGGAGAAGTATACGCAAAACTTGACATAGATGGCGCTGCAAACGCTTGACCCTAACCACAGCCGAATATTGCAGCTGTTATATTTTAAACGTGCTTTTTTTGTGAAAAATATTAAATAAGTGGTGAAAATGTATTCAACATGGTCTGTAATACAGCTGAAAACAGAGTTGAAAAAGAGAAGCAAGGCAGAAAAGCAAATCTAGTAGAAAGGTACTCTTTCTATTATTATGCTAGAATGCTCATTCTCGGTACATAGATGAATTTTCGATGATAATTTTAATAGTTCAAGGATCTCAGAACTTTTAACAGGTTCATTATGGGCCTACCACACGCACGAGCTTCACCACAGTTTTGCCTGCGTAGGCCGGTTTGTACACGGAACACGGTGCGTGTAGTTGGTAAAACTGTATCACGCGCCAACCCCACAGCGCGGCCTGCGCATTTTTCGACTTGCTTGAAATTTTGCCTGCGCAAGCCCGGCCTGCGCGTACTTGTCTGTGCGTGTGGTTGGGCGTTCAGTGTTCATAGTCCAGTCAGTATTGTCGCGAAATCCGTTTTTCCTCAAACAGCTGGAACTATGCTAAAAAGTTTCTTAAGATAGTAAAGAACACTTTACATAGAGAAAAAAATGTTTCCAACCCCGGGCAAGGGTGAAAACCACCCTTAATAATCTATTTTTCCAATTATCTCAAAAAGTATACGAGATACGGAAAAAAACTTCAAATGAAAATTGTAGATCTTTTTGAAATCTACAAAACATTATTCCACCCTCTTGCCCCTATTTTCAATAGGGGAGCCAATAATCGAAGTCAAAGATTCAATACTTAAAAAGTTAAAGTTAGTTAAAAAAGTTATCTTTGACTTCGATTATTGGCTCCCCTATTGAAAATAGGGGCAAGAGGGTGGAATAATGTTTTGTAGATTTCAAAAAGATCTACAATTTTCATTTGAAGTTTTTTTCCGTATCTCGTATACTTTTTGAGATAATTGGAAAAATAGATTATTAAGGGTGGTTTTCACCCTTGCCCGGGGTTGGAAACATTTTTTTCTCTATGTAAAGTGTTCTTTACTATCTTAAGAAACTTTTTAGCATAGTTCCAGCTGTTTGAGGAAAAACGGATTTCGCGACAATACTGACTGGACTATCAAGCCACAGTCGAGTGTACTTTGTGTCGAGGCTCGCTCGTCGTTTCATGAGGTCGTTCGTCATCGTCACTCAAAAATGGCAGATTTGCGTACGTACAATCGTGAATTCACGTCTGAATTAATTAGTTTATACAAATCCCTGCCTGCACTCTGGAAAATTAAATCTAAAGATTATTCCGACCGCAATAAAAACAACGACGCCTACGAAAGAATGATAAATAAAATGAAAGAGGTAAGAACATAATTTTTGCAACTAAATACCTATGCCTAATACCTACTACCTACCTACTTGCACATATTATGTACATATCCTATTGTTTTTACATGTTTTTTTTAATAGCATACACTTAAAAAATAGTAGCATAAGAAATGTTTCTTCATTAGGAAACATTGTTTCCACGCCAATGATTTCGATAAGAATGAGGCTTGCGCGTACTTGACTGTGCCGTGTGGTAAAGTGTACAGTTTTTTCGTGCGAGATGCTTGCGCAGGCCAAACTGTGGTGAAGCTTGTGCGTGTGGTAAGCGCATTAGTCAAAATCTCATTTTTGCATCAGTCAGACATCTCATATAGTAAGGTTACCTCTGGCTAAAATGGGAAGTATAACATTGGGTTTCTTTTACAGACTTGAGGCATATGACCGCAATTTTAATTTTTGTGCAGTTTTTACTGATCAAAATGAAGACATCCAGATGCAATTACCTACCATGATACATACCATGATGTACACATCAGCTCAGTTTTACCCCACCTTTCAAAGCGACATATAAAATTTATATTTTAGTCGGTAAGCATGCAGTATTCTCATAACAACCAGGAACTGCACAACGCGATTTGTAATTTGTTTAATAAAAAGCTTAAAAATGAATATAAACTAATAGGTATATATTTGATAGAAGTTTTGGGTCAAGCGATTACAGCGCCCCTAGAGGCCAAATTTTGCAGATTTCTTGTCTATTATACTAAGTCGTTAGCCCGAATACAATGGAATTAAACGACTAAGTGTAAATGAACGGACTCCAGTACGCCCGTATACGGATACTTTTCGATTTGTTTACCCTACACCGTCTTCCGGCCCGTATTAATATAGCTTCGGGTGTCTGAATTCGGGTAATGTCTTTCGTTCACTCGAATACGAGTTAACGACCAAGTTTAATGGAGTCTTTATAGAGGGTGGGGTGAGGTAAGGGTTTGCAACTTTTGTATGATACTTTTTATTGCGCCGTCCGCTTTGCAGAATTGTTGTTCATATTAATTAGTTATTAAGCATATTTTTTTTTCAAATTCCTTTATATAGGGAGTGAAACAGTGCTATCTGTGAACCATCCAGTAATTTCTATTCAATACACTGACGATTTGGACGCGACCAAAAGTCATGGCCGGTTGTTGATTTTTTTGGCTGCCCTAGACGTTCGTCTCTACTTATAGCGGTTAGGTATGGGTGCTATGGTTTTTCTTTGTACAAACAATCTTGTCTGATTCCTCCTTGATTCTTATCATTAAAGAATTGATTTTCATACATAAAATATAATTTTACTCATTCTATGCTTGTATGTCTTCCTATTTACGATAACTTGTGTTTTAAAGAAACTAGAGGCTCTCAAAAATGCCTAAAATACCCAAATTTTTATCACCACAAAAAACATCTAGTGTGGAGATTTACTAAACATTTACAAAAAAAAGCAAAACATGGAATCATTGTATAACTACTTATTATTCGATGGGTAATTTTTTTTACATATGTTTAATTTTCGAGGAGAAAATCGTCGAGAGCCTCACCTCGAATTTTGCAATTTTTATACGCAATTTTCAGCGTTGAATGATGTTCCTATCAAATGGTATTTGTCAATACGTGAAAGCAATAGTTTTTCAAATACTATATCTCGAGTAAATCCCAAATCATCGCTTGGGCTCCACTACTACTTAATCGTGGTAGTGGAATGGTATATACACCGATCGGTTGTCAAAGTGTCGCCTACTCTGAGGTCCTGGGTTCCAAACGCGGTGGGGAAAATGTTTGTATGATAAATATCAACATTTGTATCTAAATCATGGCTGTTTATGAGCTTTTTTTTCTATCCGTTACCTTATAATATCCCAATGACATTAATACACCTATGTATAATATCCCACACACATTCCTTAAAGTGCTTACTCTTGGGCTAGGCTAATGTTGTACTCTCAGAAATATTTATTTACAGATTTAATAATATTTAGTATTGTATTATTATCGGTATCTTTATGGGTTCGCAAGACTGAACTTATGAACCATAGTTGACATCGTATCGCTTGTTTCGTGAGCTGATTACGAGACGATTTGTTACCATTAGGTACGATACTGATTTATTGTAAATATTGGGCAATTTTCCTCAATTTCAAATATCTGACATGATATTTTTGAGTACCAGCCTTTTATCATAACTATACAAGAAAAATGAAGCTATAAGGGTAATTATTTCCAAATAAAAATATTAAGTACCTTCTCAAAGAAAATTTATTATAAATCACACACGCATAGAAATTGGTGGAATACACAAAATTCTTGACACCAATTAAAGGTCATCATTAAGATGGGTGCTACTTTATGTCTCAATTTACTTAATGATTTTACATTTAGGCGAGCTAGCAAAAGGAACAAGTTTAATATTTTTATTAGTACAATCAGCAGTTGCCCAATGAGATGCGGTAAGAAAAGCGCAGGGTTTTCCTGAAAAAAAAGAAAGAGATTTTAGTGTTTTTTTAGTTTATAATAAGTATGGCAAAACCTACTTCCTCCTTGTACAGTTCAAAACACAGAATAGAAAAATAGAGTAGAATACGCAAGTAGGCAGCACCCGTTTTACCATTTTTTTCTGGTTCTGTGCTCAAACCCACCACTATGCTACTGACTATCCCTCCTTCTCCTTGTGTTTTAATTTATCTTTGGATTTAGTAATAAGAATTTGAATTTGAACAGTTTAGATTACTATAAAACTAAAGCCCAAAATACAGTTTATGCTGGCGCGGGGCGCAGGAGTGGACGGAAGCGTACACCCGTATCATATCAGCCGTACCATTTCTTCATTTTAAAGAAAATGAGCGTGAGGTTTTTGAAAATAACAAAATAACTATGGCGGTCATAAATAACAAAATGAAATCGTCAGCGATAGTGATAGCCATAACAATCCTGATCTTTATTCATAGCCTTATCACTACACCCACAGGCGCGGGTGCGAATGCCCGGGAGCGGTTGCAGCGTAGGTAGTTTTTACAAATAATTTGACTATTTGCCATCGATCTCAATGAAAATATAATTGAATGGGTACGTGGAAATACTTGTTAACGTGATACAAACTATAATCATTCGGGGTATTCTTTTTATGACCACAGTACAACGTTTAGTGCTAAATTTAAAGTTGAGAATAAATCTATTCCCATTATGGGTTTGGAGCTGCTTGCAATGATGGAAGCACTAAGTTATGTTGAGTCCTGCGGCTATAAAGAAATTGTCCTACTTACTGAGTCTGCATCCTCGTTGTACCATTTGTTAAGGGTTGGTAGGGGTTGTTTTGGAGATAAGAGGCTTTCACCATTATTAAATGTATTTGGAAATTAATACGTAGAGGTGCTCAAGTCAGGATGCAATGTGATCCATCGCATGTAGGAATTGGCGGAAATGAAGTGGCTAACTCAAATGCTAAACAAGCTTTGTCTGACGGTGTAGAATTGGACGTACTTTCCCATCATTAAGACTATTTAGGACAAATTCGAGAACGTATATACGATTTGTGGAAAACGTCATTTGACCAAATTTCTAGAGAAAAGGGCATCTGGTACAAGACGCTGGTGAGCCACCTCATGTCCCGTGATTCCACAAAAGTAAAGGACATTGCTCGTTCCCCATACATTGAATGCCCTATAACGCCCAGCAATGAGAAAATGCTAGTTGTGTTCGGAATCATTCATAAACTCTAATTAAGCATTTGTTGAGATACGGACAACTTGAGGAACCGTGGTCTACTACAGAATGTATTAGATTTTGAGGTTATAATTATTATACTTAATCGTAAAAGATGTACACTTTATATATTCTGAATAGATTTAGTTTTTACCTCTATGTAGGCACTTAAATAATATGCATTAAATGAACATAAAATGCAATTAATAATAAAAATAATAAATGCTTATATTCATATTGATTTATGAGTGTTGTCAGTTGGCACCTATACCTACCTGTAGTAGGTAATAATAGATTTCTTTTCAAATGAAATGTTCAGTCTTTCCATTTACCTGTTTCTATATTTTACTATCGGTAATTAGGTATGTACCTGGTTATCAATATGATTTTCATAAAAATAAACAGATATTACATGGGATGGGAGTATAAACTATCTTTACATAATTTCAGAAATAATCTATTTATAAATATAATATAAATACTAGTAATAAGTATTATTGACTAAGGTACCTAGTTCTATTTTTATGGTCGCCTATATTGCATTTATTAAGGTAAACAATCTTGGCACAACTTTTTAACAGAATCACCCGTTTAATAATAAAATATTAACGAAGCCAATAAAACTATTAAAATAAATCGTTATTATAGACTGAAACCTATTGAATCTAGTTATCAGTTGATTTTTAATGCTGTATTTTCAATAAAAAGGAGTGCCAAGTTGGATGAACAGACTGTAGTATCTAGTAACAGAACTTTATTTTTTTATTTTCTTAAACAGATTGTCCGTTTACAATGATTAATTGCTAATAAGTTAAAAAAATAATAGAAAAATAATAGTGAAGGACATTCTTTTGGGCATGCTAGGGCCGATTTCGTCGATGTCCTTTAATCGTAAGTTGCATGTTTTTTGCTTGAGTTCATTGTGGGCATATTCCACTGAATGCATTTAAATTTTTAATGGGCAAAAGATATAATCCCTATTGTGACAGTTGTCAAAATACTTAAGAAGATACACATACTGATGGAGTGTTCACAGAACGAAACACACAGAGTTGATCTCAATAATAGTACTAAATGTAGTAGACAAGGTTTATTTTTTATATATCATCAATGTTTTAGTTCCAACTTTAGTTGTTATAACAGCGACAGAATTCTTAAGTTTCTTTCATTGTCCTCATCGAATTGTGATATTAATTAAAGTTATAGCTACATAGCTAAGTTAAGCCGGCTACATAGCCGGCTTAACCTTTAAGGTGTATGGCTTAATAAAGAATACAAAAAAGAAAGAAAAAACTATAATCATCATTGTTGCGTGTGTTCTGGGCGTACATATTAAAGTGACTTACAGTGAGACAGCCAACAACCAGACATGCATACTGGACAAGGCCCATAGAAGTGCCAATGATTTTCAAATCATGTATCAACATGAAATTTCTATCGATATCAATTATTTCAGTACAGGATTCAGGTGTTGGTATCTCCCCAACATGTTTTCTTAAATGGTTAGCATTTATTATCTGCGAAAGAGACAAATAAGTTTGTTAATAAATTTAAAACATTTTGATGATAAATATTATATATCAATTCAATTAGTGAATAGATACTAATTGAATAGATGAGAGAGATATGCATAGGACTCTGATTTCATTAATAAAAAAAAGGTAAATTTTAAAAATCAAAAAACCCGACTGCTTAATTATACTTCAAATAAAAACTGAAAAGAAAAAAACAAGTCCAGTAGTCTATAATTCTGTTAATAAGGAACAAAGCTACTTTAACAGTCGGGACCCATTAGATATTCAAGAATACATAATATTTTTCAACAGTGGGTCCCGACTGTTAAAGTAGCTTTGTTCCTTATTAACAGAATTATAGACTACTGGACTTGTTTTTTTCTTTTCAGTTTTTATTTGAAGTATAATTAAGCAGTCGGGTTTTTTGATTTTTAAAATTTACCTTTTTTATTTCACACTTTTTAGTTAGTTAGTATTTTAAGACGGTATATACCGTAGTCTTGTTACTTCAGTACAGGAATTAATATCGCGGGAATTATTAAGTACGTTGGTCTAAAAGATTGATTTATTAAGACATATAGAGACTTTACCAGCGGGGTCAAGGCTACAGATGGGCCTCAATTTTCGCAAAAATATGTGAAGTTAAATCAAGTCGTTACATAAATATCTCTTATGTATGTAAATTTTATAGTAAACTAGCACTTACTCAAAAAGTCATCTTTTGTTTATGTTTTTTTTTAATAGTTTAGCAGTAAATATAAAATTCATTTACTTTTATTCGTCGACTATCTAAAATTGGCAGTGGCTGCATTGTCATGTCAATGCCGGACGTCTAAGATTGTGACATACACAAATGCAGTGTCAGTCCCTAGTCTCATAATTTGATATACCTACATAATTCACAGAAACCCAATATGTAGATGCCAGAAGTTAACTTCAAATGTTTTTAATCACCCTATATACAATACCAATCAATGACGTTTATGTCGCAGGTTGAAGAAAGCAGTAATTCCCGTTTGTTGTTTTGGACAATGGTGGCAACTGCCTTAGATCACTAAATTTAATAATTATGCAATCACCAAAGCAAAGTTTATAATATTTGATTAAACTAAAGGCGCATAATAAAATTTTCATAACGTTAGGTAGAGCACCATAGCAATCTCATTTATTATCAATTTATAGTTCTCTTTGTAGTTTTCTTTTAAAGCGTTCACATATAACAGGTCAAAGACTTTGTGATCGACCCTTTTTTATTGGTAGTGTAAAGCTTGAATGAAGAGTACTCCCAGTAGGGCAATCATGACAATTATTTTCCAAATTTTTTTTTTGTTTAAAGAAATACCGAATAACGTATCACTGTTAAGCACAAATGCTAAGTAACTTTTACAAATATAATCAAAAAACCTAATACTTACTTTATTTTTAAATCTTTTTCATCAATTAAATACTTATCATATCCTAACTATCTATACTAATATTATAAAGAGGCAAGATTTGTATGTTTGTAACAAATAATCTGTCAAACTACTGAACCGGTTTCAAATATTAATTCATCATAAGGTAGCTACATTATTTTTATTATTATTCTTTATTTAAATACATTTTGTCCGAGTGACATAGGCCATATTTCATCCCGATAAATAAATTTCGCCCGTACAATGCCCGGGTGGATCACTAGTAAGTATAATATAATATTATAGATGTGAAAGTGAGTTTGTTTGTTGCGCTTCCGTGCCCTTATAGCTAAATCGAATATAATGAATTTCCATATAGAAGTAGATGGGAACTTGGTTCTTAGTACAACATCTCAATACTTATTGGCGTAGGGTGATGAAAGGGGTGATTTACCAATAAAAATCTACATTATTTACTTTGAATTGTGTAGAATTATTACAAAACCAATATTATCGCGAGCTGATTAATAATATAGGGATTCCAATAAGTATGTACTTACTAGCGAGAAATGGGTTATTTGTCATTATATTAAGTAAACTTTTTTTGTAACATTAAGTAATATCGTTAAAAAAATGAAAAACAGTAAAATTCAGAGATTTTCATTAAAATTCAATAATCATAAATACCTGTTATGATAATATATTTTTCATCATTTAATAAGAAGGAACTGTATCACAGTTTTATTTTTAGTGCTTCGTATAGGATCAGATACTGCGAATAGCCCATTTTTTTTTCTTTTACATAGTACACCGCGCTATCACTTTGTCATCGTTGTAACTTTTTAAATATTTGTCGAAATGACATAGTGTAAAAAGCAAAGTTTATCGTCTTGAAATATCAAAGGGATAAAAGTATTTGTTTTGATAAAAAATGATTTGTTAATACAAAATGTGCATTTTGGAAATAGATATCAAATAATATTTTAGTTTTGATTCACTATTTTAGCGGTAATGACTTAGACATTAAAAATAGATATATGGTGTCACGGACTTTTTTTTAGAACTATTTAAGAGATACATTTTCACTCTACATTACATTCATGTAACTTTTATTGTTTTCGCAGTGCAGGCCAAAATGGCTCGCAGATGGGAGATTTTTTTCCGTCTTATGTGACACTTATCTCTTATCTAATAGACAAGTCCGTCCGTCCGTCCGTGGTGCTGTTTCAGCGGCCAAACCGTAAGAGATAGATATAGAGAATGTTTAAGTTATAAGTTGAGAATAGTCTGATAAGACTACAAACCGGATGTGAGTAACGTAGCACTTCCGGTTTTCGAGAAATCACGTTATTTCTATTTCAAACGAAACCACACAAAATCTCCGAAGTTCTCAATTAGTTATTTTTTTTTTTTGTTTTTTTTTTTTTGGTGAACATTTGGTTCACTTGTTCGCTAGTTGTTATATATTGGCCAATTCACTCAATAACGACTTAAATTATTATATATATATATATATGTAATTATTATATATGAGCTATATTACTATTAAGTTTCATTAAAATCCATTCAGTATTTTTTAGGTGAAAGAGTAACAAAGATCCATACAAATGTAAGATTGAAATTAAAAGCGTAAGTGGTTAATATACAACTTTAAAGCGTTGTAGATCCTAAACAATCATATTAAATGAAAAATGGTGTTAGGAACCTAAATATGATTTTTGATTATCTAGACAGTGATACCCCATACGACATATTTTGTGAACTTATTTTTTTTTTCTTCGTCACAATATGGCGCCTAATTTTGCCCATATTGAATTTTGATTACTATCATATCTTTAGTAGCACTCCCATGATTGAGACGAATCGATTGATGTATGAATCATCAAAATCGGTCCAGGCGTTTGGTTTTTAGTGTGCCACAAAGGAACAAACATACATATATAGACTGTTAAACACATAACCCTTTCTGCGCGTCGCGCTTCGCGCTCTTGCTTTGCGCAGCCGGGTAAAAACAGGGAAATGTATAAAATACAAATCAAATAAAATAAATCTAAATCATGAAAGTTACTGTATCCAAGATTTTTACAAAGTTAGGTAATAACGGTACCTAGATAAAATACCCTATATTACCTATTTACCGAGGCGAAGTGACCGGCCGAGAAATAAAGAGCGATAAGGATATTTATAAGGATTTGTGATTGCTACCATTTGGGTAAGGAATTCTAAAAGTATATTATTAAAAAGAGGTACAACTGCAATTGTAGGTACTTACTAATCCAAGTGTACCATAGAAGTAGATATATGGTATACTGATTGCGAAGGAAGGGTGTTGACAGAAAGCCCTTGTGCTACCTAAATGGGGCTTCAGCACTGGAGATAGAATCCTGCTGAATGGTAACTTCATTGTATCTTTTTAATAGTTTATTTTTACACGAGAACATCATTCAATTGCACTAGAGCAGTAAAACCAAACAATTGGGTAAAATGATATTGTAATTATGACATAACTAATTATGTATAATGTTATACATAATAGGATCGATCAAGAATAAAATTCAATGAATCAGGTTGCTACAGAGGGTTGCTACGAAGTTTAAAAAACGTTGACAGTGTAATTTTTTAAACTTCTATGACATAGACAGATAGAACTACTTTTTATAGCGCGCCTTGAGTGCTTTGTGCCGATTTTTGGTTGCTTTCCAATTACAGCATTATTGCGCATTATGCGGCATAATGCTTAACGTTGAGTGTTCTAACTACAGCAACGCTTCGCACAATTGAGCACTCTCAAAAGTGATGCTTTCGTGTGATGCGTGCAATGGTACCAACTTAGAGACAGAAAATTAACAAGTGTTTTTTCTTTAAGTTGGCATTGATCGAAATGTTTTATTTATATGTTATCGTTTGTAATATTATTTATTGTTGAAAAATTATTAAAGCTTTCGTTTCATTAAATAGTTTTTTTTAAATAATCAAAGTTCATTGAAACTGTTAAAAAATAAATATAAGTATGGATGAAGGTACAAACATTGACTTTTTTTTTTCAATACTGAACTTAGCGCACTCTGCTGGTGCATTTGAAAACTAATTAACGTTCCAATTACGCATCAGCATAATTCAGCATTGTGCGGCACTGAGTCGCATTATGCTCTGTAATTGGAAAGCAACCTTTGTCTACAAGAAATATGCGAAATCTGGGAAAAATTGCAATGCTAATTATTATTGCCCAACGACTCCACAGGATTTTGCTAATTAGATTAGTCATCGAGTAGCAGATTGTAAAAAATCCGATGACACGGGACGAGTTTACAAGCTGCTAGCAAACTCCCTGGCTTGTAGCTTGTAACTCGCCCCATGTCATCGAAGCTTTACCACAATGTCCAGTTGGTCTATTTCCCTTAACTCCATCCTATAAATAATTATATAGGTACCAAAACTGATTGAATTTTTATTATTAAATATTTTATCAATTGTTCTCCTATTTTTATAGTTATTAGTTTATGACCTGGATTGAGATAAAGGATACTTTTTATCCCGAAAAGTGTCAGATTTATGTGGGATTCTCAAAAACGTAAGTTGAATGTAGCTTTTTGAATGGGTCAGTGCTAAGCGAGCTATTAAACCCCTTTTAGGGTTCCGTAGTATTGACAAAGAACCCTTATAGTTTCGTCATGACCGTCTATCAGTCCCCGGTTTTTATTGGAGAATATTAGCACTAGAAAGCTGTTATTTTGTGGAGATATGTGTATTGGTTCCGCCGACAAAATGGTAGAATAAAATTATGAAAAACACCTTTTTAGGGTAGCTCCCCTAGATGTAACCTGGGAATGATTTTATTTTCATCATCTCCCCCATCGTATGGGATATCGTTGAATAGGTCCTTTAAAATAACTTTGGGGTTCTTAGGACTATTTTTCGATTTAGGGATCTGTTTGCGAAATATTGAACTTTAAAGTGCAAATTTTTGTTCAAGTAGGGCGTCGCCCCCTCTAAAAGCTAAACTATTAGCTTGAAAAAGCCTGGAAAAATTCATGATAATAGTACTTCGTATGAACTTTAAGGAAAACTGTAACGGTTAAGATAGATTTTTTAGTTTAAGAGTAGTCGTCGTTCAACTTTGGTTAAAGATAATTTCTCACCTGTTGAAAATTCCTTAGAAGAAAACATGCCAGATCCACCATACCCCTAGCCATACCCCTGGGGGTAGGGTGGGACTGAACCATACCACCGTTGTAGTGCCGGGATTTGATGGAAAAAAAGAAAAAAAATAGATACCTAACAGATACAAATATTTAGTTTATTAAAAAAACCGAAATTCGTTCTGGCAAAACCTAAAAATATAACAAATACTTATTTTGTTATTTATTTTAAACAGAAAAATTTAAAAGATGATATTCTATGTTCTTAATTTGTCTACTGCATGCCCAATGGTGATTTCGTTGTGCACAAACTGCACTTGGACTTCTGTTATAAAATCATCATTAATAAATTGTTCCGCTCGACGTTTTTTAGGAGTAACTTTTGTTTTATAAATATTGTGTAGAATATTTAACAGTCGCATTAAAGTTACTGTATTCTTATTAAGAATTTTATTAAATTTTAAATGAAACGACTAAAATATTTGTCGTATGATGTCATTCACTGTAATACGTCGGGAGTATGTATTTTTACCCAAAAATTTTCAATGTAGATTATGAACTTATGCATCCGTTTTAAGCTATCGCATTCTGATTTAATATAATCTAGTCCTAGTAATATTTTATCGGCAGGTAAAAGCGTTATAGCGGGCGTGATTCCCAGATTCTTCTCTCAGGTTTTGTATGCGGAACTTCGGCGATTTAGTATTTTCATTTCCATATGTTGTTGCGTACCCAGTGGTAATAAGTCATTCAAAATTGCATTCATTGCCGCTTTTTCTTAATCACAGTGTATTTTAAATGGTTTCCACTCCGGTATTTGTGACAAAATCAAATTGAACAAAATCAAGGAGCTCTTTTCTTTACGGTTTGACATCAAGGCAAAAATTAGCGGCATTACTGTAGTCGTTTCTGTGGTGCTGACATCGCCATGAATATTACATATTTGAGAAAAAGGTGCAGGGCAACTATGGAAAGTGCCATCCACAAAATATTCTTTAATACTTGGGATCATTTTTCTGAACCATTTTTATATTTTTGTGTTGATAGTAAAGGTATTTGCCACAAAGAAGAGCCGTTCCGCCAATAATTTTAAAATCAAGTTCTTCTGTGGCCATTTTTGTTTAATTATTTACATCGACAGTAAAATGAATAAATGAATTTGTATTTAAATGTCACTCAATAAACAGTTTATTACTTATACAAGAAATCTAAATATCAAGCTGGGTGAAGTTGAACCGTTAATTACCTATTGCAAGGGGCAAAAGGATACTTGAAATAAATACACGATAAGATTATTATTGAGAACAATCATGTGAAAATGAATTATAAGTTCATATTTATACTATGTCATTATTCGCATTATTGGATGCTATTAACACCAGGTACCTACGTAATATTCGGAAAAACAAAACCTGAAAGCATATAGTGCACAGCACTACGGTGGTATGGTTCAGTCCCACCCTACCCCTGGGGGTATGGCTACGGGTATGGTGGGTCTGGCATGGAAGAAAACATTAATAGTAACATAGATGAAGTTATTGTAGCGTAAAACCTTGCATTGCAACAAAGTCTCAATAAAAACTATTGAAAGCCACACTAAAATATCCTTAGTTCCACAACGCTACCCCGAGTACCAACGGCAACGGCTCCCGAGTCGCGCTAACGTTACATTTTTATTGTATACTAGAGGTCGCCCGCGACTTCGTCTGAGTTAACTTAGTTTTTTTGTAAATCCCTCTGGAACCTAACACTTTTTCGGGATAAAAGTAGCCTATGTGTTAATCTAGGGTGTCAGCTAACTCCATACCAAATTTTATTAAAATCGCTGCAGCCATTTAGACGTGAAGAAGTAACAAACATACATACTCACATACTCACACACTCCCAAACTTTCGCCTTTATAATATTAGTGTGACTAGCTGTCCCAGCGAACTTCGTACCGCCATAAAAAAATGGGGTTGGTGGGAGAAGGGTGAAAATTTGGGGTTATATGTATTTTTGTATGATGTGTCATAAAAAAATTAATAAAAAATCTAAAATTAAAAAAAAATAGGTTTGGATACCCTTAACATTTAGGGGGCTGAAAAATAGATGTTGTCCGATTCTCAGACCTACCCAATATGCACACAAAATTTCATGAGAATCGGGAAAGCCGTTTCGGAAGAGTTTAACCACAAACACCGCGACACGAGAATTTTATATATTAGATAAACACTTGAAAATATCGCCGGTTATACCGCATCATCCTCTCAGGGGATGAACACTTCAGATGGAGCTTTTAGTCAGTAAGAGTCTGATATAAACCTGCAGCTGGCTGAAGGGTATTCATGAGGATTTCCCACCAGCTCCCCTACTTGGGAGGAAATAAAAAAATTGGGTGGTTATAATCAGTACTTAAAAAAAAAGAATTGATTTTGAGTTTGAGACGCAGATTGACCATGATTTAGGTATTTTATTTGAGATACATAAATTGTTATCAACTGGTTTTTCTAATTTCCGTTTTAGAAAATAAAGACTCCTGCTCAAACATATTGTGGTAACTACAGGCAACTATGGAACCCTACACTGCGCCTGGTACAACACGCACTTGGCTGTTTTTGGAGTTTACTCCTTAAGAATCGATTTGCAAATATAAGGGACCCGGTATGAGAAAAATGTGAAGAGTAAAATCTATCGATGAATGACCTCGTTACGTTTTTGGTGCGCATCCTATGTCGCGCAACTTTGACAAACAAAGATGACGGATTGACATTAATAAAATTTTTAAAATCTGAACTGAATTTAGATATTGTTTCTGACAGAGCAATGGGGACAAAGAGGTATGGTACAACCATTGATGCGATATTTTCATGATTCGTGAACCACGTATCTACGAACGTCCATGTGTCTTATTTTAGTTACCATAAACCACTTGCCACTTTTATTAATAATGCAGACAATGTTGATTTAATATTTAAAAAAATGATAATAGTCTCATAATAATAATTACATAATTTATCAACATTCCTAATGATATATTTATGCACATCTGAAATTGACTATTGTAAAAAGTTTAATGTAAAATATTTCGTCGATTAGTTATAATAAATGTATATGAAATGAATAAATATATATTTATATTATTTACATTAATTTGTTAATTTACCCTTTCAATTCAATTCATTTATTGCAGATTCATACAGTATCAATCTTTTTTAAGTTAAATAAACTCTTTTTGCGTCTGGTTAGACTATCGAACTTAAGGAGTAAACTACAGTCGTGCGTCGGAGCGGACACACACAATTTTTTTTTCATTATTACTTTAAGCCAAGGTGAAAAGCTAAAAGTCTACTTTGACAAAATAGCTCTGTTTGATAACTTCTTTGACGTTACTTTGATGTTGGCGGCCAATGAAAGGTACAACGATACTACTACAGTCGGTACAATTATCAAAGTTCTTAATTCAAATTAACACAATCGTTCTTAGTACATCATTCCATCTTTGTCAATGGCTTTCGGCACCTTAGGTCCTATGGTCCCATTACCGGAATGTCCAGTCGGTTCATTAAGTCTGTTTCCCTGATAGTCCATTCCCCGAATGTCCACTTACCTAATTATCTAATTGCCCAAACTTCTTACTTCCAATCTTTCTTAAAGACTTTTATTGTCGTAATCTTTGTCGTGAACTCTGAAAATATTGACACTAGAACATTAGGTTTGGACCTTTAAGGAAGCCGACTTTCAGAAAAATGGACGTTCAGGGAATTATACTTACTTTCAGGGAAATTGACGTTCAGGGCAATAGATCTAATGAACTGATCGGGTCCGGTTATAGAACCTAACGTTGAAGGGAAGAAAGGGTCAAATGTTTTAAGTCAAATAGAGATGGCATGAGGCGTAAACATAGAACTTTGGTGCAAGTGGGCCTTAGCCTTGCATTGCCTTTGGTACAGTTGGGCTAGTCCGGTTGACTGGACCATGTTTTTTACAGTAGTACAGTTAGCCGGACAAGTGGTATAGCTAACTGGACAGGCGAAATCTTTTATATTCCATGGTACAGTCGAGTGCACGACCGTACCACTTAATTTATTATGTTGATAGTACAGGCAACCGGACTAAAGTCCATTTGCACACAATTTGCTAAATCTCGATTTAACTTTAATTTAATTTAAACCATACAAGAATGACACAGCCATTGGCATTTAGACGTTTTTATGGGTTACATCTAGTTTTAGTTAATAAAGATTTAGCAAATTTGGTGCAAAGGGGCCTAATGTATATGGAGGTGTATGCGGAGGTGAGGCAACATTGTGGAACACTGTTTTTAAACAGTTTATAAAATATAATGATGCCTAATGAATACACAGCTGTACAGTTCACTGAACAGAGAAAAACATTCATTCTGTGGTTTAGTTACTAAGACATGCGAAAATGTATTTATTCCATAGTACAGTTAAATGAACCAGGAAGGTATTTATTTTACAGAATTCCAGTTGACTATACTACTGTTAAAAAAAACATGGTCCAGTCAACCGGACTAATCCAACTGTACCACGGGCAATGCACGGTCTTAGCGTCCAAAATGGAAGTTGACGTCCAAAAAAGATCGTCTCATCGAAGGATCAGCCTTTCATTTCTCTGCGTCATGCTTTTTCCCAACAAAAAAGAGATGAACTATAATACAAAAATAACAGAATTCGCCTTAGACATAATTTATTACAAAACACGAAATTTAAATACCTTTACTATCCTAACAACATAAAAAATATACAATACACTAAATATAAAGTAAGCTAGTAAAGTAAGTAAATATTACTACAATAGAAATCATCTCTAAATAAATTTGAACATTGTGAAATCACGGCATCCTGTATAGCAAATTTTGGAGGCATTCGTTGACACCTTGCTGAGACAATATGAGCTAATAAAGGGTGTTGTTTCAAAGAAGCAGCAATAAATGTTCCTTCGACATTTATTGATAAAATAACAGGCACTGACTTAGAATGATTCACCCTTGCACTCATATGATCTGCAGTAGGCAGAACTGGCGTATTACCTTGCATCAATGATTCTGGCAAACGGTACGAGGGCGCCTGGATATTATCAGAAAGAAGTGAAAAATCATATAAAACCCACACTTGTGGCATTTCAGACGTGCTTGGATACAAAAGCCCATTACTTGAAGAGTTTTGTATTTTATGTATTTTATTTTCATATGGTCGTATGGTTCTCGGTATTTCATTCACATTATTTGAAGTATTAAGTTTATCGAGTCCAACTTTCTCATTCTTGTATACGTTATCAACTATGTTTATATTTGTCGTATTTATTGAATTGCTTAATTTTGTTGTAAAAATCTTTTCAGTATTGTTTGTAATATTTTGTGATATATTTCCCTTAGTATCTCGTTTATTTCTATTAGTGCGAACTAACGGTTCTAACGCTGTTTTATCTTTTTCGTCAGAATAAAGTAAAGTACGGTTGAAAAAGGCCCGAGTTTCATTTAATATTTGGGAAACTATACCATAAAATAGAGACAAAACTTCGTTTTGCTCTTCTCTGTCAATTTTTTTGATACTATTAGTATACTCATCCGGCTGAATGCCATTGTTATGTTGCTTTAAAATCTCACTGATTCTTCTGTCTGGAAGTTTACCACGATTGAATTGAGCACTGAAGACTTCCAAATCCATCCCAATTCCTCCGTTTTGCCATACAGAGAACACTCTTGCATAAAATGTTAAATATGCTATCGGAATAGTTCTCCATCTATATCTTAAAGGCGTTGTGGCCATATATTTGCTAATGGACACGACTGTAACGTTCACGTTATTATGTTTTGATTGGAAATCTTTTAGTTGTTGTTGGATATTCTCGTCTATGTGGTTACCTAGTTCAGTGTGATACGGTATCAGTTTGTTGAAAAATCTTGAATGTCTGGAGCCTCGGTATTCACTTTGTAACGTGTCGTCCATCAAAAACATTATATTGTGCCGTAACAAGGGATATAGTGTGGCCATGTTAGACAAATATTCGGAAATTAGATTAAATGGGACGACACTGCCACGTTCAACTATATGGTGATAGTAAACTTCGGTTCCAGGCTTAGAAGAGTTGCAGTGCAATATAAGGATGGGCTGCCGTCTTACAACGCCAAGTCCGAGTCCATATAACATTAGGCAAAAAATTCCCAATAGCATACCAGACATCCAAAATGCTGATATGAGTTCTGGAAATTAAAGATTATAATTATGAGCATGCAATATTCTACTAGAAAGTAAATAAAATTTTATTGTCAACAGTTTATGACAATCATTAACCTACTAGAAGTAATTGCCAAGTATATAAAAATATGTTAGTAAGTCATGTGTTGCAGTAGTATTTTGGACTATCGATAGTGACTTAAATAAAATATCAATTGGTAATCGATCATACCAATGAACTTGATAAGTATATATTGTAGGCGGGTTTCCACGAGGTGGACCGACGATCTACTGAAAGGTCGCGGGAAGTCGATAGATGTCAGTGGCGTAGGACCGTGGTGGTGTGTATATGCTTGGGGGCAACCTATACTCAGCAGTGGGCGTCGTACGGCTGATATGATGATGATGTTCACTTATCTTGCGTTTCAGTCATAGGATAAGTACTAAGAGGTCTGACGTCTGTTATACGATTGTTGCATCTAATCTAACGGTCCAAATATTTTTTGTTCTATTAAAAGTTGGCGTAGCCGATAGGCTCACCTGGCGAGCGGTCCAACCATGTTATCTCGGAATTCAGACACAGGCTATTCAAAGCCAGTTTATATAACCAAACTCCAGTAAAAGATAGGCTTATTAGAGCTTTTTTGAATATTTTAATTATTTTGATTATAATACCTACTGTTGTTAAGAATACCTATACCTACTGTTTTACTGAAGGTCGATTTATTGAAACTGGCGGTTAGAGATCTGATGTTTCAACGCAGCGATCTGTTACGATTGGCAGCTAAAAGGCTCACCTGGCCAGCGATCCAGCCATGATCTCTTTTGGGAGCCTACAACGTTCCAACCGGGAGTCACCACAGATGGTGTAGGCCGACCGCTGTCTCCGCCGCCGGTCTCCACTTTAAGTAAAGGATACTGCTCGTCGGTTTTCAGTGGAATAGAATCCTCTACCATTGTATTGGTATACCTATAAGAGTTCAAGGATTCATTATACCACTATACATCATAAAATTAATAAGTATAGCAATTAAAAAATAAAGTATCTACTAAGGTATATTAGTCAAGATTATATGAAATAGCTATACCCACGTGGCGCGGCTTTGCGTTGTACAGGTTATATCATTAAATTAGTGGCCCGCCCTTGCTTCGCTTCGGCGTAGTCAATAAATAAATAAATTCAGTACATATAACCCGTTAAAACTGTTTTCTTTAATATAGTTGTTGACACTTACTAATAACGTGGGTTTCTTATTGGTAAAAGAATTTTCAAAATCGGTTCAGTAGATCCATAGATTACCCCCTATAACCTCACAAACTTTACCTCTTTATAATATTAGCACAGTCTATAAGTGATAGTATAGATAAATCGGTTGATACAATAGCTAAGATTAAAATATTCTTCTAAATTTGGATTGTATTATAACATTATTGTCAGCCAATAACAGTCAATAACATGCCGTGATCAGCCGCAGAGGCTGTTGATGTTATTCATAAAGCCTGAGATCCTATTACCCGTGTATCACAATAAATATATTTGAACATGAATTTAAGATTTTTACTATTATGAACTTTAATAGTATCGACAAGGGTATGTAGTGGTGGTAAAATAATCGATTTTAAAAGTATGGCTAGGTACTACTCTTACTTCTTACTACCGACGAATTATGATCTATCTTCGCTTTAATAATAGTATGCCTTTCACGGGCGAGCGTATCCTTAACGAACATAAATTAATCGCACCCAAAAGGCCATAACTCGTCAGTGCTATAATACGCTGTATGTATACAGTCCATAAAATGTAAATACATACTTTTAATTATCTTAGCCTATCTTTGCTGCATAAAATCCTACGTAAGTCTTAACGTAAGTTGCCTTGTTTTGACATTTTTAACTATACTTCTCTAAAGTAGAAAGCAATGAATTTAAAAATGCAATTTACGTAAATAAGTTTACCTTTTATCCACAAATTTTCATTTATATCAAAACAGATAATTGGGAAATTAAAAAACAGGCACACGAGGACTGAGATGGAAATAAATATAACTTCAGGGATTTTAATGTTTTGGTTTGCTTCCTGTAAATTTTGAAGTTCTAATTTTGAATTGTCATATTTTTTTACTTAATTTTTAGTATATCCATGCTTAATTTATAGATACTTTTTGGTTATTTATATAAAGAAAAGACCGGTTTTCTGATACAATACCACCGTATTTTTTTCTCAAATAGGTTGCTGGTTTGCTTCTGCTAGCACAAGCGATTAGTTAATCATCGGAATAGCTAGCTTTTGTTGATGTTGTGTTTCTGTTGTTCAGTCAGTAAGGTCCAGGGCTCCATGGAGTAGGGAATTGGGTCACGATATGCAACGGCGCGAGTGATATTTTCGTTAGCAGTTTACAAGCAGACGCTTGTGCTATAGACATAGGCAATCTATACCCGATGGACACTTTCCATCGCTTGGGTCATTATGCTTGTTTGCCACATTATTAACATAAAGGAATTAAGTTTTAGGCAGCGGAATAATAGAGTAAGTTTTTTGACTGTCTCTGTCGTTATTTGATCTAATTTTAGAAAGTTTTTTATTTTGATTACTACGTATATTATTATTTAGAAAAAACAGTAAGTTGTCTATGCTTTGAATACAAGTCTTACCTAAATATGTTATTATCCTTTTATTTGAAAAATCTTGTGATCTACTTAAATAAAACATTTCGCGGATAAATGTTTTGATACATTTTTAAGGAGGAGTTTATCTATTTAATTTACAACGAAAACATTGATTAAAAAAGCTAAAATTGAATAAAAATCCTAGTCATTTAGTTACATTATTGTTGTTTTACATGTAAAAAGGTAAGTAATGCATGTTTTGTGAAATTATGGGAAAAATGACCTACTTACGTGTTCAAATGATATTATACAAGTACCTATGTACCTATATCAGCAAATAACTTAACATTATGCCCCTTATTAATAAACAAAGAATAAGCTTGGACTAGTTACGCCGTGTTTTGTTCATGTCACTCAAATGCAATTTGTCATTCAGTGAACAGAGACAAAACATGGAGTAACTACTCCAAGCTTATTCTTCGTTTATTATTAAGGAGGTAAGTATATGTATTTATTCTATTATTGTTTTAATATTTCTCAGTAATTGCGGCCACTCACCATTGGTCAAGTCAACCTGAGTGACCGTGTGTGGACTGACATTTTGGAAGGACATGCCACTTGACGAGAGGATTTTGGATTGAGAGAGAGATAGAGAGAGAGAGAGAGAGAAACATTTTATTGACCAAATTATAAAACAAACATTTTTTTTAAATTATCCAAAGCAAATGGAAAATCAAAATTCAAAAGTATTGATCAAGCCTATTTGCGCAAGCCACTTGATCAAGCGGTACGATGGTGAATGGCCACCATAATGCTATCATGTGATATCAGATATGAGTGAGCAGAATGGGAGGATCAAGTCATATATGTAGAATATTTAAATTTGCCCAGTATTTATAATAGTTAGGTATTAAACGTTTGGTATGTGCCTAAGTTGTTTATTTATACAGGTTTGGTTGTTATCAACAATCCTCACCTTTCCAATATTTGTAATTTTTTACAGTATTTAAAAAAAAAAGAAAAATCTTAAGATAAGAAAACAAAATAGAATAAAAATAGCTGGTAGAGACTGTGCGGAAAGAGAATGGGCGTGGCGAAAAACGGAACTAACATTAAGATTTTTATTTGGCAATCAAACCCAGCAATCTGTAAAACGTCAAAGTATTGTATTGATACGGATTTGTTTGTTGTTGTGATTTCTTGCGGCTTTTTGTATTTAATCATGTCTAAAAGGGGTAAAACCTCACAAATACGGTTGAAAAGCACTACAGCGCCCTCCAATCTAAATCCCATTCCTTTCCGGCTAAAGGACTTTTACGTGTTCACATTTTTTAGAGCTGAGCATCGAGCTAATATCTTCTGTCCAAACGATATAGGTTCTACAGGAACACGAAAACGAACAGGAAAACGAAATCAGGTCGATACCATCGTAAAGCAAGATTACCAAATGGCTTTGCCACCAAAAGCTATTACAGTCAAAGAGGTATGGAGGGTGTCATTGGAATTAAAAGAAAAAAAGCACCTGGATTTGATCTGATTACTGAAGAAGTCATTAAACAACTTTCTAAGAAAGTTGTAGTCTTCTTAACAACTCTGTATAACAGAATACTCAGGGTGCAGTACTTCCCGTGGCTGTGGAAGGTATCCCAAATAATACTGGTGCATAAGGGGAACAAACCACCAAGTGAAGTCGGCTCATACCGACCCATTAGCTTACTGCCAATCCTATCAAAGATCTTCGAAAAACTGTTGCTTTGCAGAATACTTCCAATACTCAAAGAAAACAATGTGATACCGAGTCATCAACTTGGGTTTAGACAGCAACACTCCACTATAGAACAAGTGCATAAAGTTCATGAGAGAATAAAAAGACTCGAGGAAAAGGAGTATTGCTCAGCGGTGTTCTTGGATGTTCAGCAGGCATTCGATAGGATCTGGCATAAGGGACTGTTATGCAAACCAAAAAGGCAGCCTACTACATAGATATCACCAAATCTTCGAATCTTATATTAACGAACGCATATTCCAAGTTCAGGAATCAGGAGAAACGTCACATTTTTATGAAATATTTGCTGGAGTACCACAGGGCTCAGTCCTCGGACCGGTATTTTACACTGTCTATACAGCCGACTTACCTGTAATGCAAAATGTAACAACTGCTATATTTGCGGATAACACTGCCATACTTGCAAGTCATAAGAACCCTATTATTGCAACAGAACTTTTAAAACAGGTATTGGATGAGATTACAAAATGGTTGCAAAAATGGAGAATAGGAGCCAGTTCGTCAAAATCAGTTCACGTCACATTTACACTGAAACAAGGCAATTGTCCTCCAATACAATTAGAAAATGTCACTCTTCCTCATCAAAACTGTACACACTACTTAGGGTTACCTACACATAGCGCCTTACTTGGAGGGAACACATAAAGAAAAAAAGAGAGGAACTTAACATCCGCTACAAGCGATTTTTGTGGCTATTGGGGCGTAACAGCAAATTGTTAATAGACAACAAGTTACTGATATACAAAACTATCCTTAGACCACAGTGGACCTATGGCATATAACTCTGGGGTACTGTTAGCAATTCCAACATCCTTTGCATTCAAAGAGTCCAAAATATAATCATTCGAATTAAAAGCGATGCGCCATGGTATAGGTATCACTAATAATGAAATTCACGAACACCTGGAAATGTCAACAGTAAAGGAAGAAATTATTATTGCGACTCAGAAATACTGGGCTAGGCTGGAGACTCAGCCGAACATATTAGCAACGCAACTTATGACTCGGAGTTATAACAAACGGCTCAAAAGGAAAGACGTTCTATAAAAATAATTAAGGAGGAGTTGTCCTTGCTGAAGGACACACTCTTACACCCTAATGTTTATCCAAAACATTTGCTTATAGTGGCACGCACTGGTCGCAAATTACAATAAAATGAAAAATCATTTTTGTAGGTTTCACTTCTATCGCATGTGAACAACACATGTCCGTTTTTTTTATCTCCTCCTATATTAAACTTCTTCGTGCTTCAGAAAGACGTTAAGCCGTGGGTCTTAGCTGTACCTGTAGTCTTTAGTACCCACTAATCTGAAGGATAACAATAAATTAACAGGTTGTTTTTTTTTAATAATTCATGATCATGGATTCAAGTCCTTCAGTCGTATACATAAATACAAATCATAATCTTCTTGTTTACATTAGAATGTCGGTGTGACGCATTCTAATGTTTCTTGGAGCGTTTGGCACGAAATGTATTGAGTTGGTTTTTTCGATTATTTTCTGTGAGGTAGTCAACACTACAATAAAGTTCTCGCGTCCACTTGACCGGAATAGCGTATATTTTAAAGATCCCACTAATTCTTCAGTTGCGCAGATGGTTGTAACACAAAATCACACCAATTTTATTTCACAATATCCACTATGAACGAATTTAAGAATAATTGAAATAAGACGCCAACCGCACTCGAAGAAATCCCGCCAGAAATTCCTACCAAAATATGCCATCATTAGTGTTGCCAGGCCCGATATGTTTTAAATCGGTACAAGAGGTCAAAAATTAGTGGAATCTTTATAATATAAGCTATTCCGGTCAAGTGGACGTGAGAACTTTATTGTAGTGTTGACTACCTCACAGAAGCTAATCGGAAAAAACCAACTCGATACATTTCGTGCCAAACACCCCAAGAAACATTAGTATTAGTAAACAAGAAGATTGTACGACTGAAGGACTTGTATCCATGGTTATGTTATTAAAAAAAACATTTTGGTGGATTATGTATCAATCGAGACAATAAAACTAATGTAGGTACCTATATCAGGCTGTGTAAATATTCCCAGATTTAGACTACAAGTTATTGTTTAAAAATCATGGTTCATGCTTTCGTTCTTTCGTTTCGCTAGAATCGGAATGAGTCATGCACTTATCGTAATGTACACTTGTGTTCAAAATATATTTAATCTCATTCAATTATCATGCAAAATATTAATAGGTATACAATTGTTGCAATTCACTTTTATTTCTATTAACGTTCTGATATAAATAAATATTAACATAAAAAAACACCATTTATTTGCCAAATACCAAAGTTAATCTAAAACAGAAAATGACACAAAAGAACATCATCCTATCCACACCTATCTCTACAACTTATCCAGGCTGTCCTTGATATAAAGTGCAGGAGATGAATCATCTTCTCTAATGTAAACCTTACCGTACTTAATCCATACATATTTGTATTTCTTTTCATTTGCTAGTTTTCATAGTTAGTAAATGCTTATAAGTGGGCAGTGTCCTGTTATTGTACCCAGCATTACTCGGAGATCTATGCTTTTAAGAAGTGATTTCCGGGTTAGTTTACAGTTTAGGCTGAGGAAGATGTGCGAATATTTGTCCCCCCGAATTTTTAAAGAACGCATGCTACGGAAGTATACTGTATAATATTCTCAGATTAAGTTGTGTTGTAATTAAGATGAACTTCAAGAATAGAGAAGACCTTTTAAAAGATAACACTGTATTAATATTTTTTATTCGGACCGATCGCGCAACGCGGTCTTAAGTTCGCTGTGTGCGTTGCTGCGCCTTGTCACATGAGCTCTATATTTTTTTCGTGGACTTTCGCGTATTTTTGTCCTGTCCGTTCTCACTGTGTCCACGGTTGCCCGTACCCGACTTTTTGTACACAAGGTTTCTAATTCCTCATGTGCATTACTAGATGCAGTTGTAAGCGATCTATATTGCGGACAAAAAAGTCGGCGGACAAAAGTCCCTTCTCTGCGCAGGCTATAAAGATTACCTATCCTCTTGTCGACTCAGAGTATAAGTAAAAATTGCTTATTTTCTATGATCGCATAGTTATGGTACCCAGCATTACTCTAAGAACTATGCTTTTAAGGATAGTGATTTCCGGGTAAGTTCAGAATTGAGGCTGGGAAAGATGTGCGAATATTTGTCCCCCAAAATTCTTAAAGAGCGCATGCTACGTAGGTTTACTGTATAATATTCTCAGATTAAGTTGTGTTGTAATTAAGATGAACTTCAAGAATAGAGAAGACATTTAAAAGAGAATACTGTATTAATATTTTTTAGCAAATATCGCAAGTTTAACAATTTTTGTAAAACATAGAGACGACCATCGAACCATTAGAAAAGTTGAACATCTATAGTAATAATAAAGAGGAAAGATTTGACTGTTTGTTTGTTTGTATTAAATAGGCTCTGGAACTACAGAATAGATTTAAAAAATTCTTACACATTTAGAATATTACTTTATCACTGATGACCATAGGCTATAGAGTATTTTCAAAAAGTTAGGGTTCCGTATAAATAACTAGATAATGTAATTCATGCTACCAAGGACTTTCTTAAAAAAAAAATAAAGGGGAACAATTCCGTCATACATGAATTTTGTGTAACTTTAATCATTTACGCAGTGCACGCAACGGCATATCCCAAATATCTTTACCCGTTTTTGCAACATTTTACATCGATACTTCACTCCTGCTGGTCGCAGCGTATTATTATATAGCCGTTAGCTTTCCTCAATAAATGCTCTATCTAACATGAAAAGGTTTTTCAGATCGGACCATCAGTTCCTGTTCCGTTAAACCTAAAAAATGTATATATACACATTGCATTCGGTACAACGGGTGATAAAGTACACATAAAATTTTTCACTATCAGTTAAATAAATTTTCATGGAAGGTTTATAATTATATAAAGAAAATCATTGTGTATAATACAAGCCTGAGAACAAAAACTATAGTCTACACTACAGCTCTACACCGAAGCGAAGCGAGGGCGGGCCACTAGTAATTAATAAAGAAAGTGAAATCATGTTTTATTTCATAAAATTTATTTCTGTTCAATTATAAACGTTTACTATTTATAGTCTAAGACCTCTTTCTTCTTAATTTCAGAGTTAATTAGCCTACTTTACTTAGCTTTTTATAACATTTTGGATAGCTTAAAACATGTGTAAGTTATTATTATAGCTACAACTTCTTTTAATAAACCTATTGGAAAGTAGGTAAAACATAGTGAAAAAACCTACATTCAAACAGTTAATTACTTGCCACTTTAACCAGATAGCAGATTTTTTTCCAAGTTTTTTTTTATTATATGTACTGGTATGCTTTCTATACGAAAACAGTAAAAAAGTCTCATCCAAGAGACGAAAAAAGTATAATTAAAAATAAAATTACAGACAAAAATGGTACTTTAAAAAAAACGGTTAACTTTTTGGCATTATGTCGTAGGCTCAAATCTAGTATTAGCAATGACCTTAATAATAATATGCTTTAATATATAAATCGACTTTTCCTGTAACCCTATAAATATTGTTAGTTTTAAGAGGCAAAGAAAAAAAACTATCACATACAATTTTGTATAACTAATTAATTATAATGTTATGATGCGTTCGGTATATTGAGCACCTTGACATAATAACTCTTAATGCTAACTCAGTATTATTTAACAATAACTTAAAATGGTCACGTCAGTACGTGAGCCAAATCTCTTGTTGAAATAACTCAATTAATGCGTCAAGAGAACGTGCTAAGTAACACTAATTTCATACGTGAAACAGATGTGGTGTATAGCTTGTGCATTTTTTTTCAAATAAATTAATAATAAATCCATTTCATGTGAATTGAAGAAAGCAAGGTGAAAGACGACCTGACAAATGAAATGGAATAATAACAGAAGTAAGTGTTAAATTATTTATGAAATAAGATAGTGTAGGTAATATGTGTAGTAATAAGGAGCTCGATGGCGCGTTAGCGCGTTCGGCTGCGGTCGTTGAAGTTAAGCAACTTTCACAGTGGTCGGTCATTGGATGAGTGACCAAACATCTTCTATCTCGAGTTCCTCCGTGCTTCGGAAGGCACGTTAAACCGTTGGTCCCGGCTGCATCTGCAGTCGTTAGTACCCGCCAATCTGCATTGGGCCCGCGTGGTGGATCATGGCCCAATCTCCATCCATAGAAAAGGCCTGTGCCCCAGCAGTGGGGACATTAATAGGGTGATAATGATAAGGTAATATCTACAGCTTCAAGAGAGATAGCGTACAGCCGATTTGCTGCTTTAACGCCTGTCTAGGAAAGCAACTTCCACTTTACAGAAGACCAAAGCATAATAAACTACCAGAAATCAGAAATCAATATATCTTTATTCAAATTGGATGTATAGCACAACACTTTTGAATCGTCCAAACATTTTTTTCCCTACCACTCGTTAATGGACATATTTTTTAGCTGCGGAGAAAAACGAATGAAAAAGACTCCACAACATTAAATATATAATGTAACAACATTTACAAATCATTATGTTGTTACAACGTCAATACAATCATGATTTATTTAATATAGAAAACCTGTTGGAATGATTGGAACAGTTCAAACCCAAGCATTTTTGTCTGTAATATAGTCAGACTTTGTAGTCCTACCTTTTGGTGGTGTTGTGTTTATGGTGGTGAATAGGCCTGAACTCAAACCCCTACTCCGAGGAGTAGGGGTTTGAGTTCAGGCCGGCAAGGTGAGGATGTCTGGAGCGGCAGCGGCACCCCTTTTGCTGCATCATTTATCTTCGCGTCTGGACTCCACTTACACTTAACATAAGGTGGAGTGGGGTAATTGGTTACCCCTCATATAAAAAAGAAGTGTTTTGCCAAAAGTGATAGCGTTTTTGTTGTTTAATCCGCTGTTATAGCGGATTTTGTGAATTGAACATCCGTCTTAAGGAAAACCGTAGTGAAATAAAATACTTATTTTTTCCGCCCATGAATAAGGTTTCTATTGCTCTAAAGAATAGGTCCCTGCTATTCTTAAGCCCTTCAGGGTTTAAATGTGAAAATAGCATATTTTCTATATGAATGATGTATCATTAACTTAGATTAATAAAAAAAACTTCATCATTTATGGGTGATTTTCCCAGGCAGTTGTTTAACGCGGCGAGGTCGAAAACAGTCGTGTGGGATTACAAATGCACAAGTGTTTATTTTTTGTTTAGTAAAAGGCTTTGTTATCTTCATGAGGCAATACATATTTACCGCATAAACCACATTATTCATAAGGAAAAAAATATCTTTCCTTCCATTTTCTAAGCCTGGTAGAGCGTCCAGAAACCGTTTTCCTAGAGATTTGTTAATTATGTCCAAAATTGAGCAAGTTTTTTACACTTATGTTTTTAAAATCATAAAATGTACTAGTTATTTTAACTATTTACTATTTTATTTCCCTTCTAGGGCTCTAATTTACATTTAGAGCATTCCAGAAAGGTTCGTCCGCTAATAATAATTGATAATTGTGGTGGGTATCCTACAACGCGTGCTTACATGTATTTACAAGTTAAAAAGAATCACCATTTGCGATTCCTAGAATCTCTCAGTTACGCTCTGCCAAGTGACAGTGTCTAATGCGTTGTAATCTGCTGAGATTTTCCGCCAAAAATTTAAGTTTAACAAGAATCGGCAATCCGCTCTACAAAATCAATCATTCATTTAAAGGTCTTTGTGTACGCACCTACAATAAAGTCCCTAGCAATGTCCAACAATTAGGCGTCAATAAATTTAAAACTACCATTAAAAAAAGTTCTTATTAATAAAGCCTGCTATAAAGTGTCTGATTATATTTCAGACAAAAATGCTTGGGTTTAAACTGTTCCAAACGTTCCGGCAGGCTTTTTCTATAATTATGATGAAGATGAAATGATTTTGTATTGACACCGTAACAATAGATTTTTTTGTAAATATTGTTACATAATTATTTAACGCTGTGAAGTTTTTTCGCCAGTTTTTCTCCACAGCTAAAAAAAATGTCCATAACTGGTGGTAGGAAAAAAAATATGGACGATTCAAAAGAGTTGTATTTTGCATCCAATTTGAATAAAGATATTATGACTTTTGACTTTTCGACAATATAATTATAAATTTGGTGTAAGTATATGGTGTACGTATTTTTCTTTATGTATTTTTTTGTAAATAAAATGTGGTGACTCATATATTTATTACTTTCATTTAAGGAGTATTTAATTGTCTATTAAACACAATTTATTTCATTAAGCTAGCGTTCTTAGTTTGCCAGATTTTTAGGATTCTTTATGTGACCCGGATTCATTGCTCTCGGGTGTAATTTCGGGTTCCTTTTTTCGTGATCAAATGACGGATAAAAAATATTGAGTTTCAAAGATTGATTTAATAAAATTGTAAATTCAATATGACTTTAATTTATTATTAAGGATAAATAAAAACAGTTATTCGTTATTTTATGCTTTTTTTTCGACTGTAAAAAAATATTTTTCCAGGATTTTTTTAGTTTATTAATTTTTAACCATTTAAATGAAAAATTTATTAATCTAAAGTCAATTTTATTAGAAAAAATGATGTGTTATGATTTCTAATTATGGTGGCAAATGTACAATTTTGGTGTAGTGACAATTTCGGTGTCATAAATAATTAATGATTAAACGAACTTACCTTAAGTGAAGTTCTATCATAATTATACGAAGCGCCTCGTCCGAAGAGATTAGTAACTAAAACAATATATTATTATATACACATGTAGTAACGCATAAGTACTACCACTCTGCACTAAGTTTGGATGTATAAAAAAAAATCATTTGCCTATTGGGCTTTTTTTTTTTTGAAATGTGGGTATTCTTTACTTGCTTCTCTTTGTCTACGTCAGCTCCCATCATTTAGTCTAAAGTCTTCATTGATGTATTTTTACTTAATATTGGGGTTCTGGGCGGGAGGGATGATTTACTAATCTCTTCGGACGAGGCGCTTCGTATAATTATGATAGAACTTCACTTAAGGTAAGTTCGTTTAATCATTAATTATACTCGCGCCTCGTCCGAAGAGATTAGTAACTAAAACAATATATTATTATATACACATGTAGACTTTGAGAGTTATGGTAAAAAATATCAATGAAAAGATTGGGTTTCAAAATTATTTAACTTTAATAATTTTAAAACTAAAAATGATATTTTTCTTATAATTGCTAATAATTAAGTATATAACTAACAATAATTATTGATCATAATAATTACAATAGTTATAAGTTATTTTATGTATAATCAAAAGTTCATTGTTCGTAAACTAATCATCAATAATTCCTCATTATCCAATCAGGATTTCTATGGATTTCGTAAATAGAAAAGGAATTTAAGTAATTCGTAATTACCTAAGATGAGTATATTTTAAGCCTAGTTAAAAATGGAATGTGCTAAGGCAGTCTCATCAGTGTTAACTATTACTCTGTGGTAAAACTTGGCGAAGGTGTTAGAGTTACCACTCCACCCCGCGGTGCTGCGGATTGCCTCAACACTAACGCCTCGCAAATGCGCCTGCGATGCAGCGGCGTGCCGCGTACTATGCGCGGTAAAAATGGAAGAATCAATACCGCACTCGCCTAGCGTATGTTTTACCCATCGACTGAGTGTTTGGGTTCCTACACGATTATGTGGTTTTTTAATAGCAATAAATAGTTCGTTAGACTTTCTTAACGGTGAGGTTTTATGTAAATATTGATATAAAGGTGTTGCTGGACATATACTAACTTTATCTCTAAAGAAAGGAATAAATAAGACCGGTTGCTTACAACCGAGTCTGCTTGTTTTTAAAATGTCAGGAATTTTAATTACGTATTGATCGTTTGTGGTTTCTATATTATTTATATTTATTTTAGCGAGACTCTGTATTCTCTGTGCAGTGGAAAGAGCTAGTAATGTTACAGTTTTCTTTGATAGTTGTTCAAGAGATAGGTCTTCGTTAGGAAACCACTCGCTCAGTCGATCCAATACACGATTGGTGTCCCATGTAATGTTATATTTTGGGGTGGGTGGTCGAAGACGGAAGACACCTTTGAAAAACCGACATAGTCTGTCATCATTTGATAGTTTTGTTCCTAATATTAACGAGAGTGCGGATCTACAAGAATTTAGCGTCCCGTATTGAGATCCATTATTATACATTTGTGTTAAAAAATGTATGATAGTGGGTACGGATGCCTCATAAACATCAACTGAATTGGACTTGCAATAATCCCACCATTTAATTAAATAAACATTATACTGTTGAAGTGATTTTTCAGCTATTGATGCCATCATAATATCTACTGGCGACGTTGGTACACTTCTCCTTGATAGTGCGTTCCGGATAATACTCCTGCAACCAGGGTAAGCGAGTTGTGTATCCGGGCTGAGCTGGAATGTGAGATTAAGGCACATGTACTTGGAGGAAATGTAATTGTTTCCGACACAAGCAGGGCTTGATAGATAGGGTACCAAGGTTGTGTTGGCCAATGAGGTACGACCATGATGCCTCGTGCTCTATCTGTGATATTTTTTCTTAATGTTTTTAATATTACAGAAAAAGGAGGGAAAGCATAAAAATAAAACTCTGACCATGGTACAGTAAAAGAATCTATAGCAGAGGCATCAGGGTCTTTGTGCCAAGATATATATGTTTTGCACTTCTTATTAATACGACTTGCAAATATGTCTATCTCAGGCTGTCCAAATGTTCTGGTTATGCATGAGAAGGCCCACTCCGCAAGCTCCCATTCGATATCAGGATGGGATTTCCGTGACTCAAAGTCAGCTACTGTATTGTCTTTGGATTTAATATAAGAAGCAAAAATAAATAACTTCCTAGCTTGACACCACTCCCATATATCCCTAGTAATTTTAGTTAAATGCGGATATTGAACACCTCCCATACGATTGATATAGGCAATTGCAGTGGAATTGTCTACCCTTAAAAGTATTTGACAATTATAATAATTTTGTGCGAATATTTTAAAAGCAATAAAAGCAGCTAATAACTCTAAGTAGTTGATGTGTTCTTTTCTTTCACTATTAGACCACTGTCCACTGGCAGTTTCTCCTTTACTCGCCGCCCCCCACCCCGTAGTTGAGGCGTCAGAGAATATTTCTGTAACGTATTTGTCAGTACGAATGCGGTGGACAGAATGGTCTATATTATTCAACCACCAGAGAATATCAGGAAGTAATGATTCAGGGACATTCATTACCTTATTATAATCATCATTATAGGCTTTTAAGTTAAGAAATTTACAACGTTCGAATTCCTTTGTGTATAACCATCCGTATTCAATGGCTGGGCATGCTGATATTAATAAGCCAGTTGTGCTAATCTACGAATTTTGCAGCGCTTTATCTTTAAGAAGCTTTGCAGTTCTGATTTAATTCGCGATCTCTTTTCAATTGGTAAACTGACCTGATACTTATGGGAGTCTATGATCATGCCTAAGAATTTACAAGCAGTCGAGGGTATGGTACAACTTTTCTCCTCATTGACAATAAATCCAAGTGAGACTAATAACCGCTTAGTTACTTTTAAGTTTAACAGACACTGTTGGTACGTGTGTCCAAGTAAAAACCAGTCATCGAGATATAAAGTTGACAATAACCCAGCAGATCGTAGTAATTTAATTACAGGTTTTGTAATTTTTGTAAATATGTATGGTGCTGTACTAAGACCGAATGGTAAAACGTTAAATTCGTATAATTTATCGTCAAAAAAAAGGCGTAGATATTTTCTTGACTCTTTATGTATTTTTATCAAAAAATAAGCGTCTTTAAGATCGACAGTTGCCATATAACAATCGCGTGTGACTATTTTGAGAGCAGTTCGTAAATCTTCCAATTTGAAATGGTCTGTAGATATGAACTGATTTAATTTTTTGAGATTTAAAATAAAACGAGTTTTGCCATTCGGTTTCGGTACTAAAAAAATGTCAGATATAAATTGGCCATCGCAAGGGGCACATTCAGATATGGCTCCGATTTTAAGCAAATTGTTTATGGATTCAAAATAAACATTTTTTTCTTTAATTGAATACACATGTGGTACTGGTAAAGTACTCTGTTCTATCGGTTTTGAAAAAGTAATTTTGTAACCGCTTATCCAAGATAAAATAGTGCGATCATTTGTAATAAGAGACCATTGATAGTAAAAATGGGTCAAACGGCCGGCATACTCAACATTATCTAGTAGCGGCGACGCGCTTGCGCCGGGTGCTGCGCGTACGACGTCCTCGATGAGTGCGCGGGCGGCGGAGGTGGCTGCGCTCGCGCTGCCGCAGGCTCCCGGCTCCTCTGCGCTGTTGGCGCGGTCCCCAGTGGCCTGCGGCTCCGGGGAGGAGCTTTGCGGTTTAAATATTTGGTAGTAGGTTTTGGCTTATTGACGGCTTTACTATTGGAATCTGCTTTTAATTCGACTCCAGATTTGCTAACGGCCTTTGCCGACTTCAACGTTTCAGCCAGGTTCTCACTGAATAGAAAGCTGTCAATTTTGGTATCTGTCAAGTGTTCCTTTAAATCCTTCTTCAGACCAAAAAATATAAAATTTCGCCTGGTAACAGAATCTGCGTGTTGTAAATCACACAAGAGACGACTAATGTCCATGAGCCTTTGTAATGTATCATTATTTTTATCTTTAGAATTAAGTTGCGTCGTAATTATTTGACCTAGGCCGGAAATAGCAGTAGCCATTTGTTTCTGCTTAGACTCGATTCCTTTATCGCGCTTCACAAAATTTTCTGGAATAGCAGCTTTGATTTCCGGATTGATTTTTGGAGCATCAATGTGGACACAATTAGCTGGAATCAAATATTTGTTCACTAGTTCTTTACGACATTCTTTGCTAAGGCCCTCTGTAGCCACGTGTTGGAGACGACATGCCAATTCTTTCCTTATATCAGGGCCATACTTTACGCAAGATGACGGATCATCGCCTAATATATCTAATATGTCGGTATCTAGATAAGGTTCATCGCTCACAGTCAGCGAATTCTCAATCTGTGCTACGGGGGTGGAAGTGCTCGGGCCAGCTTGCGATATATCGGCGCCATCGATGTGAGGGGTCTCTTGGCTGGCTATAGGAATACACTCGGTAATCTCATACTCGGGTTCTAACCAGTCCTTCGCTTGAACGAGTGGGGTTGGGGTGACTGCAAATACATAATGCAACTATGATAATGAAAACCAATTCCATTGAATTTTATCGACGCCCAATAATGACTAGAGGTCTAGCGTTTTATCGATAAATGTGTCCTTAATGTATAATCAAAATCACACTTATAAACGTATTTACGTTATGTTACATAATGTACTCGGAGCAGTCATTGGGGCTCGCTCAAAACATTATGATATAAAAAATAAGTAAGTTTAATTATATCTTTAGGTAAGCACAACTATTTTATCTGTATAAGTATTTAAAATTGATATGAGTATATAACGTTTGTTATTTACTATTTCGTTAGGTTGTATGCACAACCCCCAGCGGGTTGCACGTTAACCATTAATTATGCGTTGAGACAGCCCCAGCGGCTACTCCGTGTGCATGATTAAAATATGTATAGTATAAGATAATACTAGTGACACACCTGCATCATTATCACCTCCAGATAAGGTTGAGTTTTCTCTAACCGACGGACTACGAGACCGAGACGATTCACCGTCACTATCACTTTTATTTTTACGAATCTTGCGTTCTAATTTTCGAACTTTACGCATTAAGTGATTAAATTCTTCTTCCTGTGTCCGCGAACCTTTACGTTTCGGCATTTTAATACTAAAAATAGCCTAAAAAGAGCGTGACCTAAGTGGTTGGGCACTAAAATGCGAATGATGGGAGCTGACGTAGACAAAGAGAAGCAAGTAAAGAATACCCACATTTCAAAAAAAAAAAGCCCAATAGGCAAATGAATTTTTTTTATACATCCAAACTTAGTGCAGAGTGGTAGTACTTATGCGTTACTACATGTGTATATAATAATATATTGTTTTAGTTACTAATCTCTTCGGACGAGGCGCGAGTATAATACAAAATATTAAGATTTTCGAAACAACACGTTATAATATTTTTAACATGATAAACAAAATTAATCATTAGCTGTAAAAAGAGAACACTGGAAGAATTATCTACCGGCAAACTCTTTACAGAATAAGATCTAAATGATATTTCTATTGTAGGTAAGAATTAAATTAGTTACTTTTTCACTGGATATTAGCTAAATCTCTGATGAGCCATCACAGAATAAATTGGATCACAATAGGAACTTCTTGTATACCGCAGTTCTAACAAAGAACAATCTGTTACTACAATAAACGAGGCGTCATAGATCAGTGGCCATATTTTGATTTGAGCGACAGCATTACATTACAAATTAATTGATACAACTAAATGCGAAAATAACGTATTTTGTAAAAAATATTATAACGTGTTGTTTCGAAAATCTTAATATTTTGTATTATTTATGACACCGAAATTGTCACTACACCAAAATTGTACATTTGCCACCATAATTAGAAATCATAACACATCATTTTTTCTAGTAAAATTGACTTTAGATTAATACATTTTTCAGTTAAATGGTTAAAAATTAATAAACTAAAAAAATCCTGCAAAAATATTTTTTTACAGTCGAAAAAAAAGCATAAAATAACGAGTAACTGTTTTTATTTATCCTTATCTTTGAAAATCTGAACTTTACTTTTGTTTAAAAGCAACTGGGATGGCGTGATTAAAACTTTTGCTCTTAATATGAAAGATCTAGTTGCTGATTGTGGTACTTTTTTTTTTCAGTAACACATTAAAATATTACTAATAATTCTTTTAAGTGAATAGCAAAATTTAATTTAACCCGAGCATTCATGCTTGGTCGTGTTCAGGGTATTAAATATTTTATTCGTGAACAGCTATTTTATGGTTATTGTTACAAATAGTTTATCATTGGTTTTCGGTTGTAAGTTTAGTCTACATATGAGTTGACTATAGAATAATTGTATGGTAATAATAATTTAAAACTTAGTAACCTTTCCTCAAAATGTGTCTTTAGAAAGAAATCAAGACTTGAAATTATTCAGATTTTTTTGACTGATACATGACTTCATATTATTTTATTATGCATACATGCTTTACTAAACAAACCTTCTTGATTTTCAAGCAGACTAGTTTAAGGGATAGGTTGTTTGTTAATAAAAAGTTAGAGACTTGAGTTGTGTCAATTGGAAAAATTGACAACAGTGACATGAAATTCAATACAGTTGATATAATAAAGTGTTAAAAAATCATAAAAAACAGTGTGTATTATATCTTTCAAGAAACCCAATGGACAGGAATGAGTGAGCAGCATCCGCTTTTGTATGAGAACCTATCAGAGGAGGAGCAGTCAAACCCTCATTTCCAGAGACGATTGCGGCCTATGGTGTTACGTGGTCGAGCCAGAAATAAGGTGAAAGGTGCTGTTGCCATCATCAAGCAGTGGCCAGGTGCGATTATATAGCAATTAACTGTGAATCCTTTTATTTATCGTCATAGCCAAAATAGCTATATTGAAAAAAGATTATAAGTAACCTTAGAAGTAACTAGACGTTTAAGTTGCGTGTTTTTTATAAATCTTCCAGACCACCAAGTTAACGAAATTAGAATTGGTATTATGCTATGTATTAGATGAAATAGGTACGTCTGTTGAATTACAGAACAGAATAAGAAAAATATCATCATCTCTTTTTTATGTTCCAACCACTGGGGCACACGCATTCCCTATAGATGGAATAGGCATTTCTGGTCTTGAACTATCACTCTGGCCCAGGGCGGATTGGTGGGTGCTAACGACGGCAGATGCCTTCCAAAACACGGAGGAGCTTTGAAATAATAAAGTTTTATTCATTCGTACGATACCCGGTTATGGCGAAAGTTCCTTAACTTCCACGATCCCAGAGCGAAAGCGCTTATAGTACACTTCACCACTTGGGCCATCGAGCTAAAAAAATATAGTCATTTGTATAATGGTAGTTGATTTATTTATAAGGTTAGCTGTTACTAAGTTAGTAGCAAGTCGAGTTGCTGAAGTAGTGCGAACTTCTACTGTACCTACCAGAAGCATGCAAGTTGTTGAGCTAGTGAACCAGTTCAGAATCAATATATTATAAAATATTACAAGAAGATTTGCGAAATCAATCAATTCTGCTTCAACCAAAAATGTTTAAGCTCTATTTCTCTTAACAGGTCATTGGTCTTCAACTCTGACATATTGGTGGATCGGACTAGGCATGATCGCTATAGTGACATTAATCGTATATAATAGTATATCAGCATTTGCATTATTACCCACGGAACATTTGAGAGGGATTCGAACACGCATTTCAAATACTGTGAAGGACACTATCTCTGAAGAAAACAAAGAGACTCAAAATGTTTTTATGCATTTATTTGTTGAAAACAACAAAGAAGTCGAACTGAATAATTATATGCCTTACATAGAAATAATAGCCAAAAAATTTCCAGATTACAATTACAAAATAGTAATTATCACAAACGATACAAATGCAGAAACGAATGCATTAAGTGCGGAAGAAAACAACGAAAATGCATTTAACTTACTATGGACCAATAAGCACGTCCAATCTGCTTCGAAAAGTAACATAAAAATTCAACATACATCATTGTCCAAACATATGGAAAACTCTCCACTTCGAAATAATTGGAGAAATTTGCCAAATCAATTTATACCATTTTTGGTTCGTGCTGTTTCAATTTGGGATAAAGGTGGCATAACGTTTAATCCTACCATTCTTACTCCTCGGTCACCGCATGCTATTTATATAGAAAAACTGCAACATATTCTCAGAAATTATCCGTTAATGCCGAAAAATACTTTACAAGATATGGAGAGTATGAATAAAACTCATCATGGTTTGAAGAAAAAAGTTAATAATATTCGTGACATTATCTATGCAATGGAAAACGAAAGTGAGGATAACTTGTCGACTGAAGAAAGTCTAGATGCAGCAGAAAACAAAAATGACATTTTTATATTAGACAATCTTCAAAATACAAGTCATTATCTTGCAATTAATAAAGTAACCAGTAGCGAACTTCACAAAAATGAAATCCATGGGAAAACAAATACTAGTGATGAAGGCAAAGTTCGTTATCATCTTAAGACTAACGAAACTACCATCAATAAAGATAATTTTCTAAACCAACAATCCAAAAATGGCATGGAAGTTATTAATACATCCATAAAAAACAACACAAATAGTATTGCATTGTTGCCCATGTTTTTAAACTTCTTATTTAAGAACAAGCCACTTTCAGAGACAAATACTGATTCTGATACACAGGAACCTATAACTAAAAGTCGGAAACGTAAACATGTATTACTCTTGAATAGTAATAAAAATAAAACTTTACCTGATAAAATGTTATGTGAAAATTTAAAACCAATAATAGTGCCAGCAAATTCTTTAAAAAGCTTTTCACCTACAGATGATGTTGAAAAAATTAATAGTATGAATCACTTTGCTATTGACTTAAAAGGAAATTTAATTGCATCTGTTATTCCATGTCATGCCTTTTTAGGATCAATTTTTAGTAATTTAGTTCATTATAATCAAGAATCAATTACCGACTTCATTATATCTGAGCTTTCAACATTTTGTAAGGGAGTCCTATCCTCGTGTAACGGCATTGATGTTATTTTGCTGTAGATCGTATTACCTAATTTTATATTAAATAGTAGTAATACAATTACTTAATTAGACATTAAATAGTATTATTGGATGGTCTATACATGACTTATTTGATGTGAAGTTTTAGTCAACTGTCTACGTTTTACTCATATTTTTTTATTTATGTAATGTGACTCATTTAATTTACCTGCTACAGTGGAAATAAAAATTAAAAACAATTAAATGATCGTGTGCTTTTATTACATTAACTTAATATTAAAAATCAAATCGTGCCCAAAATATTGTTTTAGTGTAACAATATTTTGGTCACAAGTTACTTAGAAAAAAATATATCTATCGAAATAATTCTTCGAAGGTGTCACTCCATAAAAATTATGGCAGCAAAAGTATTGTCACAAATTAAATATTTAGACTAGATGACAATATATTTTGTGTTGGCATTAATGTTTGCTATTGTTTTAGTTTTTTGTAAAGGACAATATTACATAGCACAAGAGCAATCAGTTTTATAAAAAAAAATAGATAAATATTTATGATCAAGCACATTGCTTTTCTAATGTATTTGCCAAATATAATTAAACTTATATTTATACACGAAACTGTACCTACATGTACAATTTTAAAGGCGTTATATTTTAAATTAATAACTAAGTATTTTTAAAATTAATTTATTATAACTAATTTTGTTACCATGCCTCTAGTCTGCATTTTTAGAGATCCATTTTTTAAAATAATGAATGCAATGGCAAGAAAAAATAATTTTCAACGTGATCGTCACCCTCATAAAATGATATTGCAACTGGTAATTCAGACTAATAATAATTATAAATGCGAAAGTAATTCTTATCGTTACATTAAATTTTGTTATATATCCTTGGCGAATAATGTCATCCGGTGCCAATTTTACCCATGGGTTAAAATATTAACCCTAAGGGATCTGGAACCAGAGCATTCGACTGCTTTTTGTCGCCAAATAAATTCTGAAGTGGCGAAATAGGCGATAATTTTATTTAAATAAATAAGAAAATGTGCGTAAACCTCTACTGCTATTATATCAAAGAGGTTTCATTGTTAAGTAAACAATCTTTAAAAAAACATATACATCTAAAAAATATCACTTGGCTATGTTTCTCCTTTCAATCGGTATCTCCCACCGATTGTTCCAATTTTTACTCGACGATTCTTCACAATATTTCATTTGTTCCCGTTTCTCGCACCTTCTACTAATTGACCAATACACATAGCCTTGCGGACACTGGTAAACAAAACCCCGCATCGTTCCTGATTTGGCTTGCAAACACTTGAGAAAAACTACGGAGCATTCATACTTCTTCTCGAATGGATGATTTCCAGTAGTAGCACACGTGTGCCTATCCCAGTCTCCTTGTATCTGAAACAAAGCATCGTTCTATTTTTACATTCTGTTCATATCAAAATTGTACACAGATATATTTTAGATACGACTTCAAGCTATCGATCTTGAGCGATTATAATGAAATACAGATAAAAGCTAATCTATATATAGGAGTAAATATCAAATTAGTATTTTTATTATATTCAAGGAAATGTCCAATTTATGGTTATTTATATTGTTCCCTGAACAAAATCTTATTATTTTACGATAATTACCGTACGAGAATTTTTATTTTCCTCGTTTAAATTAATATTTTAAAGAGGAAAGATTTCTTTTTTTGTATGTTTATAATATAACGAATAAACTCAAAGACTGACCCATTTCAAAAATTATTTCATCATTAGAAAGCTATGTTATTTTTGAGTAACAAAGGTTATATTTATCGTGTAAAATTAATTTCGCCTGTGCAAAGCCTCTAACGATCCTCAGGATCGCTAATAATTTAATGTAAGTAAATTAAAGTAGGCCAGGGCTGATAATTTTTGAGAACAAAAAACTCAGAATATTTTGTAATGTTTCACAGACAGACAGTGAACCCTTTGAACACAGAACACATAAAAATGATGAAAATAATTTATAGGTGATTTAAGGTCGGGAAGAATGGGGGGGTGACCTTGTTAGAGAGGAGAAGGGTTTATCGCGATTTTAGGGAAAACTACAACACTATATAAAAAAAAATAGGTAATTAATTTTTTTTTTGAATTTACACTTTTTCATATTACCTAAATATTTATTTTTAATCAAAAGAACCGACTTTTGGTTTTATTATTTAAGATTCACTAAAAAGTGTAAAAGCACTTTGGGACTGATTATAATGCGTTCATTACACATACGCGCAGCCTTAATAGTAACTTATCTACCGCCAACGAATTCCTCCGTGTTTTAGTCTTTTTAAATCTCACGGAAATATTGTATTTTTCAGGTATAAAAAGTATCCTATGTCTTAATGCAGATAATAAACTATATGATATGTGCTAAATTTCATTCTTCTTCGTTAAGCCGTTTTTTCGTGAAGGAGTAACAAACGTACAAACTTTCACATTTATAATATTAGTAGGATGTAAGGAACGAAAATTCCTGCTGTAAAGTATAAATGGTGGTAGCGTATCGAACTATTTTATATACGGGGACAAAACGTATTTTAATTTACGAAAAATGGAGTTATTATTTACTTACCGGCTCTCTAGAGTGCAAATTTAGTCGCTTTACTCTGTGCTTTCGAGCTATTTGTCCACTACATTTTTTGTCTGCTTTATCTTCTTCCACACATTGTATCTTGCTTTCATCATAAATTGTATTATTTGGACATGTGAATGTTGCTATTTTGACCTCATGATTCTCGTCGTCTTCTGTACATTGATAAAACATATTACAGTACTTAGGATGTCTTCTAAATGATGTCGGACAAACATACAGATATTGATCATCTTCAGTGTCTGGACATTCTTTATCCGAAGTTTCTTGATTATTTTCCGTTGTCAAAGTACTATCACTCTCTGTAGTTGAAGTACTTGCAGTTGTTTGATTTTCCGTAGTATTCTCAGTTTGGTCGGTATTTTCAGTAGTACTGGTCTGTTCAGTAATGGCTTCTTGTGTCATGTTTTCCGAATCTGTTGTTTTTTGCGTGGTAGTTTCTTCTGTAGTAGTCATTTCCGTAGTTGTTTTTTCGGTAGTTGACTTTTCGGTTGTTGACTGTTCAGTGGTAGTTTGTTCGGTCGTGGACTGTTGTGTGGTAGTTTGACTACTGGAAGTAGTATATTGACTTGTAGTTTGTTCACTAGTTGTTGACTGCTCACTATTTGTAGTTGTTTCACCTGAAGTTGATTCCTGTGTAGTTGGCTGTGTGGTAATTTGACTTGACTCTGTTGTCGAACTTTCAGTGGTCTGTTCAGTAGTAGTTTTTTGCGTAGGTTGTGCATTCGTTGTCGATTCTTGAGTAGTCTCCCCGCCAGAACTGGGTTGATTTGTTGTTGATTTTTCAGTCGTCATTTGGCCTGATGATGCCGTACTCTCTTGTTCAGTAGTTGTTTCTGTTGTGTTTTCTTGCGTCATATTTCCACCTTGAGTATTAGTTCCACTACAGTTTCGTGATGGATAAACAGAGTCCTCGTGATTGCAAGTATCAAGTTGTGGATCCCATATTGTGCCCTCTCCACATTCAAAATGAAATACCGAAAATTTTTCTCCATTTCCATCCCAATCTACACATCTGTAAAATTTCTTACAATCGTCAGGGTTCGCATAATACCCTGCTTTTTCACATTTGATCCTATGGTTCTCAGGTTTTGCACTAGTTGTGTCTTGTGAGCACGACGAGTTTTCCGAGTTACTTTCTGATTGTGTTGTTGAACCACTACTTGATATACTTTCTGTTGACGATCCTTCGTCAACATACGTACAAGAAGGGTTAGCAACATCTTGAGGATGGTTACAGGTTGTTAAGTCTTGATCCCAGATCGTACCTTCACCACAATCAAAATCGTATTTTATGAATCCACCTTTACCGTCATCAACACATCTATAAAACTTGGTACAGACGTTTGTGTTTCCAAAATATCCTTCTTGTTTGCAAACATCATTATTTGAGTGAGAACTTTCACTAGAACTTTCTTTTGTAGTACTAGTTGATTCTGTGGCTTTAGAAGCTTCTTCGTCATTCATTGTTTGGTTTTGATTTTGGTTTGAATTTTTACAATCGCTAACTTCACTTATATGATTACAGGTACTAACATCGGAGTCCCATGCGGTACCTTCACCACATGCAAAATCATATTTTATGAAACCTCCCTGTCCATCGTCTACACAACGATAAAATTTAGTACAATCTAACTCATTTCCATAAAAACCTTCTGCAGTGCATTCAGTTGAAGTCGGTTTGGTGGAGCCCTCAGCGTTTTCGATGTCTGTATACTGTGACTGTACATTATTTTCAGTGCTTGATTGAACTTGTTCCGGTTTTGATGTAGTTACTGTGTTACTGCAGTTTTTACCATTGTTGTCGTGATCACAAGCTTGTATTTCCTGAACCCAAATTGTGCCTTCTCCACAAGTAAACTCATATTTAGTATATCCACCTTTACCATCACTTACGCAACGATAAAAGTTCTTACAATTCTTCGAATTACCATAAAATCCTTCATTTATACATTTGTCATCGGATAGGGATACTTCTCCAGGTAGAGTGTTATACTCTCCAGATGTTGTTTTTATGCTTTCTGTAGAAGTTTCTGAATACATTTCATCGTTAATACTATTTGGCTCTTTTGTTGATGGTGAAGAAATATTTGGCTTACAAGATTTGTTGGTAGATTCATGATCACATGCTTGTATATCTTGGTTCCAAAATGTACCTTCTCCGCAAGTAAAATTATACTTTGTGTAGCCACCTTGGCCATTATTAACACATCTGTAGAAAATTTTACAATTATTTTCATCTCCATAAAAACCATCACCACTACAAATGCTACTTATTGGCTTGCTAGTACTCGTTGAAGTAGAGCTTATTTCTGTAGACTCTTGATTACCAGATCCTTGATCTTCAGTACTTACTCCAATAGTAGTGGACTCAACATTGTTAGTATTGTTATAGTTTTCCAATTGAGTACAGTTACTTACGGCCCACTCATGATTACAAGACTCTATACTCTGATCCCAAACAGTACCTTCACCGCAAGTAAATTCATATTTAATATATCCTCCTTGACCATCTTCCACACATCGATAAAACTTTTTGCAATCTTTACTATCACCTAAAAATCCACTTTTAAAACATTTAGTTTTCGAATGATTATATCCTACAGTTGTTGAAGTAGTATATTGTGTGGGATTTACAGTATGTTCCTCATTATGTTTAACAGTAGTTTCGGAACTTTGGTTCCCTTGAGTACTTGATATTATAGATATTTCAGAAGTCGCTTCTGGGTGCTTATCTGAATCATTAGAACCACATGTTTCTACTGCCCATGCGTGATTACAAGATTCAATTTTGGAGTCCCATACAGTTCCTTCACCACATTTAAATTCATATTTAGTAAAACCTCCATTACCATTTTCAACACATCGGAAAAATTTGGTGCAATCATTTTTGTCACCCATAAAACCACTGGATGTACATGAGTTGTTACCTGAGTGTTGTTGTTGAGATTCAGTAGTGGTACTAGATGAAGGAGTAATATTATTTTCTTGACCGTAACCTATATCATTTTCATCATCAATTGTTAAATTTTGAGTTGTGGCATCTATAGTGGATGATGTCATGATTTCCATGTTCTTATGAGTTGTTGTTTTGATTTCATTCATATCGATTGCTGAACTGCCGCTGCAATTTAGTACAGATGAAGCATGATTACAAACTTGATTTTTAGAATCCCATACAGTTCCTTCACCACAAAAAAACTCAAATCTTGAATACGATCCATTACCGTTGTCAACACACCTATAAAATTTCTGACAATCTTTTTTATCACCCATGAAACCACTTGTTTTGCATATATTTTCACTACCTTCTTCTTGATTTTGAAATACTTTTGTTGTAGTCACTTCTGTTGTGCTCTTAGTGCTAATAGTAACAACTGACTCTGATGTAAATTCATCTTGTTGTGGTCCATAGCCAATATCGGAGTCATCGCTTTCCTGTGATACATGAGAAGGTGATTGTGGAGGACGATAAGTAATTTGCGTTGCTTGTGTGGCTAAGATTTCTTCTTTTACAATATCATTATTTTGAGTGCTTCCACATTTTTCAACGGCCCATGGATGATTACAAGCTTCTATTTTTGAATCCCAAACAGTACCTTCACCACACTTAAATTCATAACGAGTATATTGTCCATTTCCATTATCAACACACCTATAAAACTTCTTGCAATCATTATCATCACCTATAAATCCACTTGATTTACAATTATTACCATTTGTAGGTTGTGCCGCTGTCATCATTGAAACTGGTTTGTTTTCCGTAGAAGACAATTGCTGATTAACATATGATATTTCGTTCTCCTCTGGAACTGGTTCATTAGATGTGTAATAATTATGGGTCGATGAAGTTATTACGGTACTTGGATAAGCAGCCGTTGAACTTTGCCCAGTTTCAATTATATTGTGAGATGAGCTGTCAGAAGATAACTTAACGCCACATCCTTTGACTGCCCATGCGTGGTTACAAGACTCTAATTGAGGGTCCCAAACTGTTCCTTCACCACAAGAGAATTCATATCGTGTAAAGCTTCCTCTTCCATTAGCAACGCAGCGATAAAACTTTTTGCAGTCATTGGTATCGCCGGTGAAACCACTTACATTGCAACCGTTATTTGAAGTTTGCTTTGTACTGCTATCAAAATCTTGCAGATTACTATTACTATAAGTAACCGTTGTAGAACTTGTTGTATGAACGACTTGACTTTGCATTTGACTAGAATTATTTGAATGATCGATTTGCAACTGTGTTTGATATCCTTTATGGCCAAAATTAATTTGACTCTGGCTTTGACTTAAAACCGTACCATAGCTTATCTGCGTTTGATTCTGCTGAACATCTTGACCACTTTCGTAATTAATTTGAGTTTGGTTTTGGGTAACTATACCGTCACTGATTTGATTTTGTACTTGAGACACTTTTGAGCCGTAATTAATTTGTGATTGAATTCGTGCGTTAGTTTGCTGCTTCTTATATGGATCATCTGTTTTACTTATACTACTGTCATTGCCTTGTTTAACATCTTTTGCTATAATGTTACCCCTTCCACAACGTCGTTTTTTAACATTCCAAACATGATTACAGCCTTGTTTATCCTCATCCCAAATAGTAGGATCACTGCATAAAAATTCATATCTTATAAATCCACCTCGCTGGTTTCCAACACATCTATAAAACTTACGACAGTTTTCACTGTCACCCATAAAACCATCTGCATTACAAATTTCACCGGTCTGAAGCGTTGCTTGGTTATTATAGAAGGACACGCCTTTCGGTGTACTGAATTTTAATTTTATCTGTGGATCTCTATTAGAATAAAAGTCATTATCCTTATTTTTCAGTAATGTTGGTAATGTTGTTGACTTATGTGGCAAATTACTGATATCAATGTCTTTTTGGTTTGATGAAATAAAAAGTTTCGACTTGTTTCGATTTTCAGTATGTAATATTTCGATAAAAGGCTCCTCAGTACTTATTGGTGTTGGTATTTCTTGATTTATTTCATTTTCATCTATCTGTTTAGATGATTTGTAATTTGCTCCGCCACAAGCAACTCTTTTAATTTTTTCTGGATGATTGCATATTTCTGTATCTGGATCATAAATTGTTCCCGGACTACACTGAAACTGAATGAAAAATAAAAGAATTGAATATTAGATTAAAGGAGCTCGATGATACAATAATATTTAAGCACTAACAGTAATACCTACATTAGGTAGGTATTGGTTATGGCAAAATCATTTTTGCAGTCAATATACTCGCCAGCCCTTAAGTGCAGGCTCAATCCCAGTGCAGACTGGTGTGATTGAAAGGCAAAGATAAACAAATTAAAACGAAGTAGGGCCCGTTTTGTCTGTCAATACTGGGAAGAAAAATCTATTTACTCACGAACATATCACTGCAACCGATTTGCAAACAAACATTTTTGCAATAAATAAATAATAAATAAATATTTCCAACACTCACACCAATTAGCCTAGCTAGCCCCAAAGTAAGCACTATAAGGCTTGAGTTATGGGATACTAGGGTAACGGATAGAATACTTAAACTTTACTTAAATAAGTATATTTTTATATAGAAATATATATTAAACATCCATGACTGGAGTACAAATGCTAGTGTTCATCACACAAACATCTGCCCCCACCGGGATTCGAACCCGGGACCTCTCGAGTCGGCGACGCCATGAAACCCGGCGTACAAACCACTCGGCCACGGAGGTCGTCAAAATGCACATTGGTAGCGCGATTCTGTAAAATTTACGTCCATGCACTTCCGATTTCGGTAGCTGCCATTTTAGACATAAGTTTGATATGCATTACGCTAATACACGGCAAAATGTCGCTATGTCTCTAGAAGCAGCCAGCCAAAAATCCAAATTAATGAGATGAGTGAGATTGCATCTTACAGAATACCTATGCTGTTGTGGCGCATTTGGCCTCTGGCTGATCCTGGGCTTTTAAGAGCACTGTCGCCATCCAAATGGCCATTTTACAATACAAACAGTTATCCAAATGACCGCGACTGTGTCCTTAGGGCTAGTTGGCTTCCCTGGGGGTCTAGCAAGTAACTATATTAGCCTTAATACAAATATTGGATTTCAAAGCCATTTTATTGATTAAAATGACCCCTTAATTTGCAAAACTTTATATGATTTGTGCACAATACTTACTTAACTGAAACTTATTTAACTTATTTTTTTTTTATATTATTTTACTTTACTGCCGATATAGTTACGTGGTAGGCCCCTTGATCTACCCCAACTGTCATATATGACTACGGTCCCTTTTTCAGTCAAAGATTTAAATCGTTAGATACCGAAAAACTGTGGCCATATTTTGCAATGACGTTATGATAATAGTGGTTTTGACACATTACAATAGTGAAGTAAAAGTCAATTTTTTATCGAAAAAATAAAGTAATTCTTTAAATGCGAGTCTTATCTACGAATATATATATTTTTTTGGTATTTTAACCAACATTGCAAACAGTAGCTGATCAAAAGAATTGAATGAAATGAAAAATATAAATGTCTACATAAGCTCAGCGATCCTATATGCGGCGATCGTTTTGATTTATTTAGTATATATTTCGAATTTAGAAAAATACAAATGCTTAGTTATGTGATGCATAAGTACATTGCAATTATATTATAACTAGCTGACCCGTCGAACTACGTACCGCCTTTATAACAGTCGATAAATGTGGCTATCTTTAATATCTAGCTTAATTAAATTTAGGACTTTACAAGCGAAATAAAACAAACAAAATAGTTCAATTTTACTCGGATAATCTACATATAAAACAAAGTCGTGTTAGTTAGAACACCTAGAACTCAAGAATGGCTGAATCGATTTTTATGAGCATTGTGATTTTTTTGGAATCCTCACCGCCACGAATAGCAGAATAACTATTTATATATATGAAAAATCCTACTTAACCTAACTTAGGTTTAACTAAACCTAAATTAGGTATGGTATTCCGCCTTCTTCCACAATTGACAGCTCACGTCACAAAAGCACAAAGCTTATTTGCACCTTCTGCAAATCTGTTACTACAAAATTGATAGAAAAGATTGCTATAAGGTGTTATGTTAATGTTTTAATTTAAAGAAAATAATGTAATCATAAGACAAGTTGCAATACTAGCCGAAATTTTGATAAGGAAACGATGGATATAACTTCAACACTATACTGAAGTATCAATATCGCAGTTTTCATTTCATTATAACATACATTTTACTCCATTTGGTTTAATTTTCCAAAAATATTCCTTATTTCCTAAGAATTCGTAGGGTACTGAGAGATTAAGGGACGTCTGTGTTTGGTGAATAGTTATTGGGAAAATACGTGGCAACTCTGGCCAACAATAAACCCCGTTTTAAATTTCGCTGATACACTTGAAGTAAAAGTTATTGAAATTTCATTTTCTCTATGTAGGCATATTATCCCTTTAAACTATTTAACATTTTTTGTATTTGTTTTATTGCGGCTGCAAAATCATTAATTTAATAAAAATAAATTTTTATTTTTATTAATATGCTAGAGTGGGCTGGATGAGAGTGGCAGAAAATCGGGAACAGTGGCGTGCATTAGGGGAGATCCATGTCCAGCAGTGGACGAGCATGGGTTGATGATGAAATTAATATAACCATATTTATCGACTTTTCGGCGGTACGAAGTTCGCCGGGTCAGCTAGTTAGACATAAAGAAAAGATAGAGAGAGATATTATAATGAAATGTTTTAAACGTGTATTTTTTACCGTAAGCCGTAAATACAATTATGGATAATATATTATATTAACTAAATATAATAATAAATAATCTTATATAGTTTTGTAAAATTTTAATGCTTTGCCCTAAGATTATGGATTCGATAAATTTTAGGACTAAGTGCTCGTCACTAAAATGATACACTGCCTAGCCTATTCGAGTGCTGTCAGCTTTCAGAGCGGTCAAACTATGGTAAGGGCATATCTATCGATTGAAATCTTTGTTTACAGTGATAACTAATAACTTATGATGCCTTTTCCCCAACAGTGACCTTAATATAATCTTAAAAAAGGTCTGGTTCTGGTTAAAGTTATGCTTCAATGGATTGTAAGGAAACAAAAATCTTTGAAAACTTACTCGAAACGATACAAATCGTCCTTTTCCTGATCTCACGCATCTGTGGAACATGCTACAGTCCAAAGGGTCTTCTTGAAAACCTTCATCATTACAAATTATTGGAGTCGGTCGAACTCCTGAATACAACTTAACTTGGCGTTTAATAGCTTTTGGCACACGGTCATGTTTTGTTGTCACATCTGTAAATATATTTTATATAAGTAGTCGAGTCAATAAAGACATAAAACAGGCAAAACTTGGAAACCCGGTGGAACAGCTCCGATTTTTATATTTAAAAAAAAAATGTTTTTTATATATTATTCAAAATCAGAAACCTTTGGAAGGGGGGAAATATTTTTTTTATTGTTTAAACAATATTTATGACATTTTTATAAAAAAATCACTTTTATCGCTTTTTTTTGAAAAAAATATTATTATATTAATGTTAGTATAAAAAATAGTTGTTAAAATGAGGCTTTTAATAATAATTTAATATTTAAACCATTAAAATACGATGTATTGGTCAATAATACGAATGCGTTGAGCACTTACGTTATATTTTAGTTACTTCATATATATATATATTTTATAGATAGGTCCGACAAATGACTCCACCCCATCTGATGTTAAGTGAAGGTGAAGTCCAGACGCGAAGATAGCTGATACAGCAGTTCTACCTGCCACACCAGCCATCCTCACCCTGCCGGCCTGCATGTTGCTTCTTCACGCCTCTTTTAAAGGATCCCAGGTTGTAAGAGGGAGGGAACACGTGAGCGGGCAGAGCATTCCATTTACGGATAGTGCGACAAAGAAATGAGTCACCAAATTTCTTTGTACGCGTTGGAATTGTGGCCACAGTAAGACGGTGACAACGTAGGCCAGCTCGCGTGGTCCTCTGAAGGAAAGGGGAAGGTGGGATAAGAGAGAATAACTCCTCAGAACACTCGCCGTGGTACAGACGATAGAACGCGCTTAGTGACGCCACGTCACGGCTCAAGGTGTTTAGTCACCTCCTCATCTCCTATGATGCGGATCGCGCGCCGCTGTAACCTATCCAAAGCATCGAGCAAGTACTTGGCGGAGCCTTTGCGGTGCGAGCAATATTCCACGCAGGACCGCACTTGCGTTTTGTACAACAAGCACAGTTGATCAGGCGTGAAAGAACGCCGCACCTTGTTCAGGACTCCGAGTTTGCGTGAAGCTGTTTTGATCACGGTTTCGATGTAGTCCTTTGGATTCAGGTCTGAGCGAACTTCCATACCGAGCTTGGAAATGTTGCTCTGTAGCGGTAGTGTTTTGCCCTGAAGATGATAAATAAATAAAATAAATATAAAATAAGATGACGGGTCAGATGGTTATTAAGGAGTTTTTCTAGAACTTTACATAAAACTGAGATGACTGCTATTGGCCGGTAGTTTGCCGGGTCTGAGCGAGCCCCTTTTTTGGGCACCGGTTGCACGTTAGCATCTCTCCAAGTCTCCGGCACACGCCCCAAAGAATACGAGCATTGGTACAAGCGCGTGAGCACAGGAGACAACTCCGTTGCACATTTTTTCAGTACTACTGCTGGGATGCCATCAGGTCCACTAGCTTTCCGGACGTCGAGTGATTGCAATTCGGCACGAACCTCACACTGCCTGATTTTAATATCAGGCATCGTTTTGCCACAATGAGGTAATGATGGTGGTAGTGCATTGCAATTATCGATTCGGGAGTTAGCCGCAAAGAGTTTTGCCAGTAAATCGGCTTTCTCCTACGGCTTATGAGCTAGTGTTCCGTCTGGGCATCTCAGAGGTGGCAGCGAGGGCTGGCAGAAGGTTTTTTGCACGGTTTTGGCCAAACGCCAGTAGCTACGGGAGCGTAGGATGCGTTATAAGTTCCTGGCCAATACGTGCAACGCGCTGGGCATCCGCTCTGATGTAAGCCTTCTTACAGGCCTTGGAAGCAAAATTGTAGGCTGCTTTGAGTGAATCGACCTCGGGATCCTTGAGAGCGCGGCCTCTGACCCAATATCTTTATATATATAATTCTTCTGTGAGTGTGTATGTCACTGAACTTCTCTTAAACGACTGGACCGATTTTGATGAAATTTTTTGTGTGTGTTCAAGGGGATCTGAGAATGGTTTAGATTCACAATTTTGTCCGCTGGACAACCCCTATTTTTTTAGGGCGGTACGAAGTTCGCTGGGTCAGCTAGTATATACCCGTGTCATACACACTCACAGAAGTTCAGTGACATACACACTCACAGAAGAATTATATATAGGGTGAAATTGAATGTTTCTATGAAACTTCGTGAGATTGTTGGGTTATGTGTATAGAGTATGCCTGTCTTTTTTCGGATTTTTTTGAAGTATATTTTTTTCATGTATTTATTTATAATTTGTGTATTTTTATGTCCTTTCCTCGTTTTGAGTAGTTATTCATTTTAAACAAACAAACTTACATATCCAGTGAAAAACAACTAATAAATAAGCACTTCTAAAAAACGGAAAAACATTGAAATTCCACCGCGGGTCAACGACCGACCGCGCCCGCCAGCCGTTGAGTAAGTAGCTACCTAACTCTAACCAGAGCTCAACTGACTCGTTTGATTCCACACAATAGGTACAATAAAATCGTCTTAGATGCCTTTATTGAAATTGAAATAATAAGCACAAATGTCATCTTTTCTTAAGCAGAGAAAAACTTTAAAAGTTAATAATAATTTTGTCACGATTGGAAATAGGCAAATGTTAAACAAAAAGAAATACTTATTGCTTAATACCCCAAGAATGAAATTTATAACCAGGTATTCAAAAGTACTTACGAGACCGGCGATTTAGGTAGGTACAACGAGGAACGAGGAACATATTCATTTTTTCACTAGAACTTTTTATCAAATCAATCACACTGGTAGTACACAATTAGTTGTTTCTAATCAAAAAGTATTTACACTAGCAATAAAAAGAGACTTAAATTATTATCTGCAAAATTGTTGCTCTAAACCACCATTTTGCTGCAAACAAAGGTTGCCTGTTTGCGGACGTGTCTTTTCACCTTTTTTAAAGTGTCCTTAACACTACTCACTGCACAAAATGCAACTTCTATAGTTTAGGGACTCATTCGTAAACCAAACCTACTTCGTCACACTCGCGATAGCAGTACACCATCTCTAAATATTCTTGGTTTGTATACCGAGGCATAATGAAATTATCACAGTGTATGTCACCAAGTCAAAAGATGCGCACGCTCACGCGCGATTAATATACTTGCGACTGCGTTTTGCATGCAATCAAAGCAAACGTCCGCGTGCGGGGAAGAGGGGAGGTGGGCGGAATTCACATCATCAAAGACGCCGCAACCGGCGCTAGTTGCCAGCGTGCGGCGCGCCGCCCGCCCGTGCTTGCCGCAAAACAACATATTATTATGTGTGTGTGTGTATGTGTGACTCTGGCTGTGATTAAATGTGTTCGGAATTTCATGACGTGGGCAAATCAGACACGAAGAGTTCCTTCCTTCCCTAAGCTCGTAAGTTATACCGATTTGCTCTTAATTTTAAGAAGATTTATATTATTGATTAATTACCTGTGCTTTATGAAATAATATTCAAAGGTATTGTGTATCAGTGAATAAATAATTATAATATAGCATCTAAGACTATTTTATTGTATTGTTTTTAAATAGTGTGGATCAAAGCGAGTAGGTAAGCGCCGAGTCATCTGTGCGTGTAGTTAGGTACCTACAGGCGGCCGCCGGTCGTCGCCCCGACCGGCGCTGATCTCGACTGTAGGCATAATGAAGGCATTCATTAAGTTTCCGTTTTTTTATTAGTGCTTATTTTAAGTTGCTTTATAACTTCTATGTAGACGTGTTTAAAATGAATAATTACTCATAAGGAAGAAATGACAAAAAAATAACCAAATAAAAAATTAAAAAACGAAAAAAATTATTTTAAAAAATCCGAAAAAAATCAGGCATACTCTATACATGTAACCCATCAATCTCACGAAGTTTCATAGAAACATTCAATTTCACCCTATATATAAAGATATCATATATAAAGAAAATATAACTAGAAAAAATTCCACGCGGACCAGGCAGCAGACGGGACTCGAACCCGCACCCTTCGCAATCCGGGCGAATGCACTGACCAATTATGCTACCGCGGCCCTCACAGACCGCGTCGAAATTCTTTCTAGCTATTCTTAAGCTGCAAGGCAGCGCCATCTCTTCGCATTATAGGTAAACCCACAATGTCAAATGAATACTTTTACAAGTATTAAACATTTGAAAGAAGAAATAGCAATTATAGTTATAATTTTTATTATTTTTAAAGCATGTAACTGCTTGATGTTTAAATCTAAAGAAAATATAACTAGAAAAAATTCCACGCGGACCAGGCAGCAGACGGGACTCGAACCCGCACCCTTCGCAATCCGGGCGAATGCACTGACCAATTATGCTACCGCGGCCCTCACGGACCGCGTCGAAATTCTTTCTAGCTATTCTTAAGCTGCAAGGCAGCGCCATCTCTTCGCATTATAGGTAAACCCACAATGTCAAATGAATACTTTTACAAGTATTAAACATTTGAAAGAAGAAATAGCAATTATAGTTATAATTTTTATTATTTTTAAAGCATGTAACTGCTTGATGTTTAAATCTAAAGAAAATATAACTAGAAAAAATTTCACGCGGACCAGGCAGCAGACGGGACTCGAAGCTGCCTTGCAGCTTAAGAATAGCTAGAAAGAATTTCGACGCGGTCCGTGAGGGCCGCGGTAGCATAATTGGTCAGTGCATTCGCCCGGATTGCGAAGGGTGCGGGTTCGAGTCCCGTCTGCTGCCTGGTCCGCGTGGAATTTTTTCTAGTTATATTTTCTTTAGATTTAAACATCAAGCAGTTACATGCTTTAAAAATAATAAAAATTATAACTATAATTGCTATTTCTTCTTTCAAATGTTTAATACTTGTAAAAGTATTCATTTGACATTGTGGGTTTACCTATAATGCGAAGAGATGGCGCTGCCTTGCAGCTTAAGAAAGCTAGAAAGAATTTCGACGCGGTCCGTGAGGGCCGCGGTAGCATAATTGGTCAGTGCATTCGCCCGGATTGCGAAGGGTGCGGGTTCGAGTCCCGTCTGCTGCCTGGTCCGCGTGGAATTTTTTCTAGTTATATTTTCTTTAGATTTAAACATCAAGCAGTTACATGCTTTAAAAATAATAAAAATTATAACTATAATTGCTATTTCTTCTTTCAAATGTTTAATACTTGTAAAAGTATTCATTTGACATTGTGGGTTTACCTATAATGCGAAGAGATGGCGCTGCCTTGCAGCTTAAGAATAGCTAGAAAGAATTTCGACGCGGTCCGTGAGGGCCGCGGTAGCATAATTGGTCAGTGCATTCGCCCGGATTGCGAAGGGTGGGGGTCGAGTCCCGTCTGCTGCCTGGTCCGCGTGGATTTTTTTCTAGTTATATTTTCTTTAGATTTAAACATCAAGCAGTTACATGCTTTAAAAATAATAAAAATTATAATATCATATATATTTTTTATTAATATTTTTTTATTTATGTTAATTAATAGTTTCATTAAACTATTAATTTCTTATATTTCATGAAATATATCCTAACTTTTTTATGTATATCAGCGTCATGTCATTATATTACATGAAAGATCTTATAATTAATTGTTTTTAAATGTTTTTGATATAATAACATGTAAATTAAAATTATTTGTGATAACAATATGAAAACAATAACATAAACATATTTTTTTTGTGAGTTTTCTAATTGATATTTTATAAAAAAAACATTTTTTTCTAAAAATGTCATAAAAATTGTTTAAACAATATAAAAAATATTTCCCCCTCTCCAGAGGTTTCTGATTTCAAATAATATAAAAAAACAAAATTATTACAAAAAAATCATCAAAATCGAAGCTGTTCCACCGGGTTTCCAGGTAAAAAGCTTCATTGACTCGACTAAAGGTATAAACACGGGGTAATACAGTTAATTTTAAAAATACATTACAAAATTATGATTTTATGGTTTTCAAAATGTTGTAATTTATTGGTTCTGATTTCATTTCCTTTATCTATCATTCTTCTGCATAAATAAAAAATAATGACGCATAATTTCTGAACGATTGAACTAAATAGAATATTTTATTGTGGTTGTCATTGTTGACGCAAGGTGTATTTAAGAGAATTTAAAAAAATAATACTTATAGCTCAACGCATTTAGCTTGGTCAGCTAGTTCCGTTATCGAGAACTAATATTGTAAAAATAACTATGATTATGATACATATGATACTTTATGACTATTGGTTCTTAGAAGATTTTAGGAACATCTTTGTGATGTCATTAAAAAAAATAGCAAGAAACTCCGATAACAGTATTCCGGTATTCAAGGTCACGATACTTGAATACCGGTTTGCTACTATCAATGACCTTGTATATTTCTAAATCACAAAAGGTCATTAGCTAAGGTCACCCAGGGCTATTGTATTATAGCCAGGGGGCAAATGTAGCTGTTTCAAATAACTCTTTACTGTTTCGTCTTTATAATAAGTTACATCTGTGGCTATGTAAAGTACCTTTTTTTGACCTATATAAATATAGTTTTCATAGATTTCGCCAATAACAAGAAACTGCAATAAATTATTTGAAACAGCTACATTTGCCCACTGATTACAATACTCCTGGGTGACCTTATTATACTAAAATTACGTACCAGTTATGTTGATATCAGAGTTCAATCCTCTTATTGTAGTGACGAGGGTAAGCAGAAAAGTGTATTTTAACGGTGATAGTTCCATTTCAAAAGATGCTGACGGAGATACCTTTATAATGAAGTCATTTTTCAGTCCCACGAAAAAGCGAAATCTGTAATAAAATAGATTAATTTTGGTAATTTTGTTGTTATATATTTAAGATTGATAACTGCTAAGCATAAATTGCTTGCTTTAAACCACAATTGTCCATAAGGGGCCGTTCATAAAATACGTCACGCTAAAATCAGCTTTTTCCGACCCCCTCCCCCCCCCCCCTATTGTCACGCTGTGTCACACTTTCTGTGACCCCTCTTGAAATATTCCGTCACAAAAACGGAGACCCCCCCCCCCCCTCCCCAAGTATGATTAATTTCAATTGATAGTACACAAATTTTAAGAATTTAAATATTTATTTACTTTTTATAATAAAATTTAAATATATAAATATGCGCTAATGTCGAAAAATAAAGATGAGTAAATATATCTAAAACTATATACGTTTGAATGTCTATATGTTTACTAAATACGAAATAAATGATTTTCTATCTTGATGAAAATTGAGAAAGAAAAATAGTTGAAAGAAATACTAATTTAAATTTTTTTAATGAACCACGAACGTCACGTTGCCCTAGACCCCCCGTCCCCACTTGTCACACTTAACAAGACCCCTCCCCCCCTTGTATGCGAACGTATTTTATGAACGGCCCCTAACCTATATAAGCACTTTAGTTCGGGAAATATTTAAATGATCCTCATAACCACGAAATACATCTAAAAATAAAATTGGTAGCCTTAGCGGCAGGTTACCTTTTTTTGTTTATTTTTTATGTTTATTTTTTTGAGGATCAATTTCTATTTTATGATGATCATTTAAAATGTGCCTTCATAATCAAAATCCCAAGTTCATTCCCCAATAATAACATTTTTATCCTCTTAATAAGGACATAATATTTACTTACGGATTATTCAAATATGATACCATTTTAAACCTTTAATCAATAATAGGTATTGTTAAAAAACTAATCTCGAAAAATGCATAACGCGTCTAAAGAAATCACTGATTGCATATTTTTTAAATTTAGTTTCTACAATACCAGCAGTGCCATACTGTAAATTTTCACGTGCGGATCCGATGTAGATCCGCGCGGTTTCGATATAAATCCGCGTGTGAAAATTTTACAGAATAGGGAACTGTGAAATAACAGAAATTAAAGCAGTAGAAATACTGCAGCTCTGCTACTCTTAGTCATAGTATTCTTTTCTTAATCGTTCCGGAATCATTGTGCGGGTCCTATGTAGGAATAAGAAGAAAAGAAAAACCGCCGCTTCCAGGCGGCCTATTCTTTAAAAAAAACAATTTATTTTAAATTACATGAAAGAAGGAAGCCATCTAAGATTGAGCGCATGGATGCTTTACTCATATCATTTTCCGACCAAAGTGATCTGGGTAGAAGTGGTGGGGTTACGGGGATTGTTGAAAAAATAAGTCCTTTATAGATTCAATCAAACTATACATTAAAAGATACTTATTCAACATGCACTTTTTTGAACTTTTGACCGATTTCTAATAATATTTATATTCTTTTGTTACTAATAATTTATAACAGACCTTAGTGAATAAAACCCGCCCACTGCCACTTCAACCACTTGGGCGGGACATATAGCCCGAAAGCATGGCTCGTGGGGTAAGGCTGTCTTGGAATGGAGACCTTGGGGCGAGAAACGACCTAGAGGAAGACCACAGATGCGTTGGAAGGATGACGTCAGAAAAACTGCAGGGACGAATTGGATGGTGGCGGAAAAGGGGGGCTGTCGGTCCTCTAAGGTGGAGATAGGGGAGATCCTCCCCGGACCGGGAGCCACGGGGTTCGCCAAGGTGCGATGCCCCGTAGAGGCGGCAAAAAAGGTGGCGGAGGGAGACAGGCTCAAAGTCGGCTGGAGCCTGGCTCGAGTGACGGTGTTGGGCCCCCCGCCTACGCACTGCTATAAGTGTATGGGCAGGGGCCACGTTGCCGACAGGTGTCCGTCAAAGGAGGACCGCAGTCACCTTTGCTTTAGGTGCGGGAAGACGGGGCATAGGGCGGCGACATGTTCCGCCCCGTCTCGGTGCGCTGTGTGCGCTGATAGTGGTCGGGCGGCTGACCACGTCATGGGTGGAAGGAGGTGTGACCCTCCAGTCGCCAGGGACAAACCCCCGGACAAAGTGGTCGCGGAGCCGCCGGCGCCCGAACGGGTACCTAATGAGGAGGGGATGTCTGAGTAGCCTAGGCCGCTCGGACCCCCAACTCGACCGCCCGTGTCTCCTCTCCCTTCACTAAGGAGAAGGGGCGAGGAGACGCGGGTGACAGGGAGAGGAGTAAAGGATGGGGAGATCGCTCCCCCTCCCACTCCCCCAGGAACGGCGGCCCCCCTTCTTGCAGTTCTAACCTGCAAAGGGGGGGTGGCGGAGAGCTGTACGGGTACTCCCGTGGAGCCATCCGCAGCGGATGGGGGGCGGTATGGTGGGCAGTAGGCCGCGTACCCAGCCCCCACGCGCGGGCCTACCTGCGCACGTCTGTGGGGTCCCCGAAATACCGCGGGAGACCCCTGCCGTGGAGCCCCGACTAGGCCGGGAGGCTGCTGAGTGCGGAGCCGCGGAAGAATCCCTAAACGGGGATCCCGCGGCTTTGCGCTAAGCAGTGTAGAGGTATTCGCAGGACTTTTTTAGCGGATATTATACCGTAAAGCGCCCGTAAGAGTTGCGGGGTCCTCGGTGGGTAGCCACTGGGGGGGGGGGGGGGGTCCGTAAGACTTGCGGGAGCCAGGTGTGAGGTCCGTTCGGCGGTGTGCCTCTTAAAGGCGCCGTCGTCTGTAAAAAGATTTTTTACCTGCGTTATAAAAAAAAAAAAAAAAAAAAAGGGACGAATTGGATGGAAGTGGCGCAAGATCGAACTAGATGGCGTAATTTGAAGGAGGCCTACACCAGACTGGTTGAGAACGGCTGAAGAAGAAGAAGAAGAAGTGAATAAAACAAAAAACAAAAATTTAGAATAAACTAGCGGCTCGCCCTCTTTTCTCTTCGGTGTAGAGCTGAAGTGTAGACTGCAGTTTTTGTTCTCAGACTTGTATTATACACAATGACATTCATCTATGATTCTTCTTATACCTGCATGCAAAGTCTCAGACCGATCGGTATAAAATTGACAAATTCCCTATTTTATCCCCTGGGGGGGGGGAAAATTGATCAAAATCCTTTCTTAGCGGATGCCTGTGTCATAACATCTACCTGCATGCCAAATTTCAGCCCGATCCGTCCAATGGTTTGGGCTGTGCGTTGGTAGATCACTATGTCAGTCAGTCACGTTTGAGTTTTATATATATATATATATATATATATATATAGATAATGACATTTCATTACGATAATATTAATTAAATAGATGAGTGTAGTTTACCTGCGAATATTTTTATATATACTGGTTTCCTGCGCTTTTATAATATAGCCATTCAATATTTATATATATTGTTTATTATCGCGGGTAAAGCTCGTAGCGTTTCAGCGTTCGCCGTTACCCTTCAGTTACCCTCCAACTTTTAGTCTCGTCGGGAATAGCTGCGCAAGCAAGGTAGGTAGGAATATAAGAAGAAACATTATTATGTCGGTAAAGTTCGGTGGCTACTTTGTGTAGAAAATCTCTTTGGTGCAATAGAACACCCTTGACCGTTTTTTAATCTTTTTTTACTTAATGTCAATAAAAACATCTGTCACTCTATATATATAATAAATATATCTGTCTCTACACTGTAGTTTTTCTGTCTAAAATAATTTATTTTAGAAGGTTATGGGCTATTAAACGCAGTTTTCTTTAATTCAGAGTTTTGTTCCTCGTTAAATATCTATTAAAAAATGGCTGAATGCGGAGATTCGTCAACGCGGGCTCAAGGTCCTTCTCAGTCGTCGACGTTGTCTACGGCGTTAATAAAGAAACTGGAGGGTGCTACAAATTACGGCACGTGGGCTTTCTCAATGGAAATGCTCCTAACAGACCTGAACCTCTGGGATTACGTAAATAACTTAGAAGTCGTAAAGAAAATTCAAGAGGCAGCAATATTTAATCGCTTCGACAGTAAAGCTCGTGCTAAAATATGCTTGGTTCAAAGCTGCAGTACGGCCGAAGAAACTTGGAGAAAATTGAAAGACACATATGCAAGCAGTGGACTACTCCGGCGGTTAAATCTTTTGAAGAAACTCTTCAATTCCAAGCTGGATTATCATAACTCCATGGAAGATCTACACAGCAACAACTTATCCAAATTAACTCACCCGTCGAGACGAATTCATAGGAATTGTGATGCTGGCAGGACTAATCGAAACATACAATCCATTAGTTATGGCTTTTGAACATTCTGGCTCCAAGATCACCGTGGACACCGTTTCTTCACTTTTACTTAAAGAAGATTTAAGAGGAAAGTCTGTGAGCAGGAACCAAAACGCATTGCTAACTTTCAAGACCGGGAAACCCAAACAAGAAAAACCCTCGTTCTGTGAATACTGTAAGAAGAAGGGGCACCTTGTCTCAAAATGCCGAAAAAGTGTAAATACCATGATGAAGAAAAATTATGAGAATGTGAATAGTGTAAAAAGTAATTTAGATAATAATATAACTGAATTCATTCTTTCATCCTCATTTCGTTCTCCCACAGATCCAAAGGATATATGGTATTTAGACTCTGGTGCAACATCTCACATGAGCAACAGAAAGGATCACTTCTCATACCTTTCGCATCTCATAAAACCTGTGACCGTGGCTAACAATAGTCAAATATTGAGCGACTGTAAAGGTACTATTCATTTAAATATTTCTAGAAATATACAACAAATTTCAGAAGTCCTTTATGTACCTAAATTAAACACAAACTTAATGTCGGTTCATAGTTTAGTAAAAAAAGGGTTATGTAGTCATATTTTGAGCCAAGGGAGCATTCATTCTTCCAAAAAATCACTGCAAAGTTTCAGGCCGAGTAATTGCTTCTGCTTCAATTCACAACAATATGTTCAAACTTGA